TCTGGACAGATGGATCATTACAAACATGGGTGCAGGATTGCAATCAGGAGATGCTAGCAGAACATGAAGAGTAAGCATAAATTGGGAAGTGGGTGCACACAAAACTTCTGTATTGATACTTCTCAGTTTGTACGAAAAATCTAATTCATTTTATTCTACACCCGAACAAATTGTCTGGGATTTACCTGTGGAGGCTCATTAAATGAATCCTGGACTAGACACGTCTCGTGCACACTACCGATAAAGTAGCACAACAAATAGTGTTTAAAGCAGGGGTGCCCAAATGGTAGATTCTAGAATGTTTTAAAACTTCAACTTTCGTGATGCGGTCATTCAGAAAAAAAAAATACAAAGCATCGTAGGAGCTGTAGTTCTGTAACATCTTAAATTTATGGTGCAAAAGGATTAGAAGTTAAAACCTTTTAGTTTAACAAAAAACATGGTGGTCTCACTGGAACCCTAAAAGTATTCGTAAAGACTCAGGATAGCAGCTTCCTCATATAAATATTTGGCCAAACCACGAGAACAAAGAGTGTAGGTTCTGGTTGTTGGGAAAGTGGAGACTCTATAATAGTTTGAGAAAAAAAAAAAATTAGAGAAGTATGATACTATAGCTTACAAGAGCCATAACCACTACAGTAAGCTATAGCCATTCATGTGCTTGGAGTATCTCTTTTCTAAAACTATAAGCATTGAACGAATCGGTCTTCATTAGTGTATGGTTGATGCAGACATGTAAAGAAGAGATATCTAGGACCATATTTAGTCGTCGTAGACTGACAGATGAGCTGAATGCAGTGCTCAAAGCGAAAACTTTTAAATCCTTTTCACTGGTTGTGGTTGAGCACAGTCACACTCCGCCACGGTGATTGTGAGCCTGACAGCACTCAGAGGGACTCTACCAGAGTCGCCCTACATGCCCATCTACTAATTGTGGTCACGGAGTGATCAGCGGATACAGGGAAATTGTCATTCTACAAGAAGTCACTAGATGGCAGTCACAGACCTTCCTTTTAGCTTTTTCTATGTTTAACTGGACTATACATTTGCAGTTATCAGCTGGGAGTGTCCCTTATAACAAGGGTAAGGGTTATTATTAATGCTGTTTTACAGTTAGGGATAGTGTTGGGTTAAGTTTAGGGTGAATATATACGGTTAGGATTGGTATAGAGTTGTTGGGTGGTATAGGGTTAATGTTAACTACCAAATGTTTATTTAAGTCCTAGAGCAGGGGTGCCCAAAAGGTAGATAACCAGATTTTGTAGAACTACAACTCCAATAATGCTTTGCATACCTTTAGAATGACAAAACATCATGGAAACTGAAGTTTTAAAACATCTAGGGATCTACCTTTTGGGCACCCCTGTCCTAAAGCTAGGAGTGATTTAACAATGAGGACTGATGCATTCATCTTTTTCTTTGGTTGCACTGGATGTATCAACATTATAATAAGTAAATGTGTGGGTTTTTTTTTTTTTATTATTCATACTTAAGGTTGTGTTAGGTATGCATAAAAATATTTAAAGAAAGTCATTTGTTCTTTTAAAAATATATTCTGAGATTTTTTTCTAAAGTTTTAAGTATTTGCAGCCCCAGCACATAACCGATGACACAATTACTACAAGACTGATAGACCCTCAGGCGCACAGTTACTTTCAGTTTTAATGGTAATAAAGTGTAAATTGCCACCAACAGAATTGACCCCACTTATCACAGGAGACACAGGCTACTGATGACAGAGGATGTCTTAAACATTTTATATCAAACAACCAATTGTCTAAGGGTGCAAATATCTATTCATATGGTCTTTGGGGAAATTGGCTTTGTTGATTGTTAATATGTAACACAAATTATGTGAAACCATGTATGTACAATGTACTTTGTATCTAAACACAATGTTGTATATGTTAAACATGTTTATGGCTGTGAATACAATAAACTTCAAGTTAAAAAAATAAAACAGTAAATAATATGAATTAATAGACTTAAAGAGAAACCGTTAAATGATGGTGGAACAAAACACAAATGCTAGGTTTTGTTTTGGTTTAGAATGTGGACACTTGCCTCAGTCCTTAAGGGATTAATGAATGCACTCTAGGAGATTACTTATTTATTATTTTAAAAGTATTTTCCTGGCCAACCACACCAGCATCACGAATGGATTCAATTCCTCCACTGAGCTTGCAGGACATCAAGTAGAAAGATTCCAATAAATACACTCCCTTAAGGGTCAGTCTTTCTTCCTGTCCAGTCAAGCTGCAGGCTTTTCATTTAATTAAATACATTTTTATTTTGTGATTTACCCATCATGAATTAATCAGGGTAGTTCCAGGCGTTGCCCCTCTCTCCTGTAGGGTTTAGTTAACGGCCTGTTAAGCAGGAATACCTACACCAGGGACATTGAGTACTCTCAATGCCTCATTCTAAAAGATGGGAGTCCAACCTTTTGGCTTCCCTGAGCCGCATTGAATGCAGAGGAATTGTATTGGGCCACACATAAAATCTATAATTCATTTATATAATAAAACTTCAAAAGCCCTTTTCTTAAAATTGTTTAGTAGATAACTCATTTGTTATCCTTATGTGGGATGAGCCATCTATTAAATAAATACACATGTATATACATATGCACACCTAACCACACATATAATCACACACACATAGATGTTCACACACACACACAGACATACAATCACAGACCTATACATACAGTCACAGACACAAACGTATACACATAATCACAGATGTACACACACACACACACACACACACACAATCAAAGAACCAAAAACATAATCACTGACTTACACACACATATACACAGACCCCCCACCCCTACACACACACACACAAACTCACTTTGTGACAATACACACACACACAATAATTACATTCATACATTCAGTACTTAAGAGATCCATCCAGTCTCTCTACCTTGCTGGGAGGGCTGGAATGGATCCTCTGTCGCTGGTGGCCAGTGGTTGCTGCTGGGCTGGGGGTCTCTGTGCTCAGCCTGCACAGGTTCCTCTGATGCCCAGCAGTGACGTTGATGCCGGGATGACGTCATATCCGGTGGCCAGCTCACTGCAGGGCACAAGAGGGAGCTGTCCAGGAGGAGCACAGACATGCTAGGCTCCCTGCCTCCATCGCTGTCCAAACAATAACTTGGAAGACAGATTGTGGACAAAATGTCATCCTTTGGAGCTTTTAGTGGTACAGCTATACCTAGATACAGCTTTTCCCGTAGCTACCATGCTTACTTTAGCCTCCCCCCCCCACACATTTTTCAGGTTTGCAAGATCCATATGCATTCTGGTGCTTGAATTTCGGCCCAAGGCATGTGTTATTGCATGCTCCAAACCCCGTTTTCGGTTTGGTCTCCGGCAGTGCGATTTGTTGCCACGCGAACCTCGTTTCAATAGTGGAGGTGGATTTAAATGCTGGGAAGAACATCAGGATTATGTCTGTCCCTTGAGAGCCTGAAATTCTTCTCTATGAAGCCTTGCCTGTATTAATGTCTGCCCAGCTATCCAAAGTAAGCCCTGAGCTCTCTGCTTAGCTTGATACTATCTTCAGTTCATGAATATTTATGTAGCTCTTGCTCGATTGCAGATGTCTTCTACTAACACACATAAGCCAGCTTTTAGAAGATATAGGTGTGCCTGGCCAACAAATTAATAACTATATGGCTTCAATTACAGCCCCCAAAAAACTCAATCTCCAGCCAAGGAAAAGAAATAGAAAACCAACAATGTCAAAGCATGGCAGCCACCCAATTCCACCTGAAAAAGATCACCCAGACAGCTGTGGGACGTATGAGATTTTCTGGTATTAGTTGAAATATGGATGTTGTGGCCAATTTGGAGTCACTGTTTGACCCAATGTCAGTCATTTACTCCCCAAAAGGAGTGATATACATATATATATATATACATATATATATATACACACACACACACTTTTTTCCGTTTTAATATATATATAAAACCCTGTATCTGCTATTTCTTACAAATGTATAGCGCAGCTACTGAACCACCTAAATTACCTCCATTCTCTCTATTTCCTTCTTAAAACTACCATTGTTATATTGGCTAGAGTACTTTCCCTGCACATGAACATGCGTGTACAGTATGAGGCCACAACGTATAATCATATCTCATATCTTTGACACTTTACTTGTTCCACTAAAAACACCTGATGCACAATGCTATTGTACTGATGTTAAAAAAAATAAATAAATATCAAATTGAAGAAATAAAAACCACCAATGTGCTGAATTTTGCTATACAGAATTTGCAGGCAGACAGATAGTTGCAAATTCTAAACGAAGCTTAGGAAAAACCTGTCATTGGTCCCATTTTATTAAAGGGTTTTCTCCATAGAGAAGTCTACTATACCTTATTAATTAAAACCTTATTGAGCTTAGTAAATGTATTAAAGTTCATTATATTTTTTCAATTCAGAATATTAAATATCTGTCCACTGTGATTTTTCCCTAGGTTTCCCAGTAAACAGTAGGTGAATTTATTTTAAATTACCATCTACCGAATTTGTTTAGAGGGAATCTATTAGAAATGTGGTAAACCTATTGACATTTTGCCATTCTAACTAAATATTTGGCAATCGGGAATGCATTCAGACAAATTTCTTCTTTATATCCAAATTGATGTAACTACAAATAAAGTGGTTTTAATTTAGAATTTGATATTAAAGGGTTACTTTAGAGAAATAAATGTAATATTAAATATCACCATTATGTTTCTGTCACAAAGTAATTTATGTTTTAAAATATAAAAAGATGATTTACTTCTGATAACGTGACCTAAATCCTTTGTATCCGTCAAAACAAAAGAAAATATTTTTTTTCCCAAAAACATATCAAAACCGTTATAAAACAATATTTTAATGTGCTCAGGAGTATATAGGAATACTTCACATACACACAAAAAGAGACATTTTCATTTTTTTTATATTTAATTTCCTTTAAACCAAATCTGACAGTTTTGGCTCCATAATTTAAAAAATAAAAATATATATTTATATATATTTATAAAAAAAGAAACAAAATAAACTTTTCCTGATGACACAATCCTATTGTAATGGAGATGAGATAGAAGTTTAAAGGATTTGTTACAAGTAAAAATTAGATATTGCATATTATAACAGAACGGATTGAGTTCTTGATAGCCTGGCATATGATTGTTAAATATTGCACAAATTTACGGATTAAAATGTACAAATAACTGAGAAGATTAAACTTTTAACAGAAATAACTACCCAATATACGTATTCCTGTGCTTGATACTGGAAACGTAAATCATAGGTGACATTATTTAGCTACCGAGCCTATTAGTATGCATTAAACAATCTTCAGTTATTGCATAGATCGATATATTTTTAAATGTGATGGAACAACTCACGCAAGCACTCTCAATTTAGGCACAAAAATGATTTTAAATAAACAGAAATCATAAATTTCCATCAGAAATACCCAATCATCTGTTCAGTTTTCCAATATTAATAATATAAAATCTCTTTCTAGAATTCAAGCTGTTGGTGGGAAAATGGCAGCATTGTTATAATATTATTGCATTACATTTAAAAAGACGGGTACTTTAGACACAAAATAAAGATTGCTTTCCCATAATAATATATTTACATCAAAAACAGAATTCTGCAAAGGCATTGGTTTGTTGCGATTAAAAAAAAAAAAAACTATAAAATGTGCATTTTTCTGTAGAACCAGAGAAGAAAATTATTTCTGAGAGATGTGACATTCAAGTGCTGAGGTACCTGTGGAGGGAAAAATACACAAATTATTCCCAGAAATTTGCAAAGCATACAATATGGAAATACACATTTCTCAGTGTTATATCAATAAAAAGAACTGTGTTATCAGCATTAATCACAACTGTATGTAGACACTGAACATGCATGTTTCAGTAGAAAGGCCCTGTAATCACATTATAAGATTTATAAGCTAAGAAACTAACAAATACAATCAAATCATTAAAGGACCACTTCAGCTTAATGAAGTGGTCTGGGTGCCAGGTCCTTCTAGGGTTAACACATTTTTTTTATAAACATAGCAGTTTCAGAGAAACTGCTATGTTTATGAATGGGTTAAGCCTTCCCCCTAATCCTCTAGTGGCTGTCTCATTGACAGCCACTAGAGGCGCTTGCGTGCTTCTCACTGTGATTTTCACGGTGAGAGCACGCAAGCGTCCATAGGAAAGCATTGTAAATGCTTTCCTATGCGACGGCTGAATGCGCGCGCAGCTCTTGCCGCGACGCGCGCATTCAGCCCAGGAGGAGGAACGGAGGAGGAGAGAAGGAGAGAGCTCCCGCCCAGCGCTGGAAAAAGGTAAGTTTTTAACCCTTTCCCCCTTCCAGAGCCGGGCGGGAGGGGGTCCCTGAGGGTGGGGGCACCCTCAGGGCACTATAGTGCCAGAAAAACGAGTATGTTTTCCTGGCACTATAGTGGTCCTTTAACTTGGGTTAGAAGTTGAGACAATCTAATAGTTACCCAAGCCATTCCAAAAAATGGAAATTACAAGAATGAAATAGTCTTTCCATCTAATCAGTGAAGGTTTTAAAGGTTTCTTGCACTTCTATATGTAACAGGATTTCTTAGTCTGGCTTTGCCGATATCACAAACATGCTGTTTTTTAAATTTCTCAAACCCCAAATTTTTTATTTTCAAAACATTATGTACAGATTAGCTAATATTTATCATATGATGCTGCCTTTAGCCCCGTCCTTAGAAATATTTAGATTAATATGCACACACGAGTAATGAGTTGCTTACGAAATAGAGATCAATTTATAACAAAGAGAAAGAGACAACAAATGCAGCATCAATGTGCAGCTGCACACAACCACCCAATAATGTGTCCGCGTACTTTCTGTATGCCGAATACATTATTGCAGCCCATTTGTTTGTTCTTTTTCAATAACTTTATGCACAATTACATTTATTTTCTGCACATTTTGTTTATTTAAGTGATAAACCCATCCCCTTTAATCAGCAGCAGTAAAAGACACCAGGGGGTGGAAGAATGTGATATATATGTTAAAATAAAAACTGTATTTAAAATGAAAACCAACATACAACTTAACGGTTTTGTATTTGTATAGTGTACTTGTCATGATAGAGCAAAGAAGAAAAAGGAGATAATCCAATGGTTTAGTGGAACCACATGTAAATAGAATTACTGTATATACTCTAGTATAAGTCGACGCCCCTTATTTTACCCAAAAAACTGAGAAAACGTATTGACTCGAGTATAAGCCTAGGGTGGGAAATGCAGCAGCTTCTGGTAAATTTGGAAATAAAATTAGATCCCCAAAAAATGATATTAATTGAATATTTATTTACAGTGTGTGTATATAATGCAGTGTGTTTGTGTATGTGATGCAGAGTGTGTAACCTGGGTGGGGGGAGGACATTTTAATTATTTATTTTTTATTATTATTTTAATATTACATTTAAAAAAAATTTTTTTTTTAAATATTTAATTTTTATTTTATTATAATATTATTTACATTTATATTAAATTGTTCTCGTCCCCCCTCCCTGCTTGATACATGGTCAGGGAGGGGGGCTATATTATTCCCTGGTGGTCCAATGGATGGGCTGTGAGCAACCTGTTACTTACCTTTACAGCAGCTCCGTTCAGCTCCCTTCTCCTCCGTGCCGTTCAGCTCCGGTGTAAATCTCGCGGTCTGCGTGCCACGGGCTCTGACGGCCGCGGCTCTCGCAAGACTTACACTGGAGCTGAACGGACCGAAGGAGAAGGGAGCTGAACGGAGCTGCTGTAAAGGTAAGTAACAGCTCACTCCCAGCCCCCAACAGGACCGCCGGGCTTGTAATGAGCCCGGCGGTCCTGGTCTATTATGGCAATTTAAGTTGCCATAATACAGACACTGACTCGAGTATAAGACGAGTGGGGCTTTTTCAGCACAAAAACTGTGCCGAAAAACTCTTCTTATACTCTAGTATATACGGTATATACATACATAAATGCAACAGAATCTTGTTGATAGATGGATATCTCAAAATGACAAAAGCAGACATAACACAATTAAGTGTAGTATTTTTAACTTGTTATGGGGCAATATATTGTAATGAAGGCTCACTCAAACTTTAAAGAGCTATATAGAGCTCGGAGGTTGAAGGCGTGGATGGTATAATCCCTGTCTAAGGATGTAAGTACAGCAGTAGTGATGGTATATTCAATAGTGGTGATAGTGCTTTCCTTGGTAGAGTACAATATGTAAAGACATAAACAAGAACATCCAACAGTGTAACATGTCTAATACATTATTTTCTTCTAAAAGAAAAATGGTAGGTCTCTTACATTTTTCAGCCCATGAACATGCTCTAGTGTAGTGGAGCTTTAGTGGTGTAATCCCCACCTGGGATATGCAGGTCCAGAAGTACAATAAAAATCAGGAAACCAAAGGGATTTAAAGTAGATGCCAAATAAATTCAAAGATTTACAGGTATAAACTTTATTAAATAAACAAAAAGTATATATAATGATATGTGTTAAAATCCAAAGTGGGTAACAGTACACCTAACGCGTTGCACCATGGGGTTTCATCAAAATTGTGACTTAACTTTGAAATAAGTAAGATTTATATACATACACTCTTAATAATAATTAACAGATGATACAAAACTTTCTAATTGGTTTCCTAGAAGACTTCCGGTGTTAAAATGTCAATTGGAGATGTCATGTTGTGGTAGGTTTATGGTTGGTTCCTCCAGCAGACCACATGTAAATCCAGTATCAATCCCTGCCCATCCGACTGCTGGGAGGGTTTGTTCACAGCGGCCCTCAATATACCGCAATGGAGCATTCCTTACTGCGCATGTGCGATGACATCAGGTCAGCGTGCATGTCAAGAGAGAATGTACGATTCCTTACTCACTGTGCATTCGTGCCTCAAATAGTTTGTGTGCATGCGTCAGAGTCACGATACGCATTAATGTCGGGTGGAAGAAGATATATGTGCATCATAAAATCATGACATACATGAGATCCATATAGAATACATATTAAGTATTAGAACATGAAATTAAATTGATATTTAGCAATGATAAAATATATGAGCTATATATATATAGAAAATGGTCATCAAATAAAAAAGAAAAAGAAAAATCGGGTCTCAGTACAAATCTATAGATGTGTATAAACACTAATAATAAAAAAAGAGGAGATGGTATGGACATAGAAACAAAGTTACTACAGAGCCAAAAAGCTATATAAAGGTACATATACGTATAAATATCTAAAAAAAAAAAAAAAAATACGTGATGTTTTAATTTCTCTTCCTTTGTACCCTCCTTGTTGTGTCCCTTTTTTTATTTTTTGGTATGTGTTTCTTACACATAAGCGGATAAGATATGTAATATAGTGTGTTCTGTCCGCGTTATTTGCTTCTCGCTGTATATCATTATTTATGTTGGATTGTTTGTTTAAGTGTATTTCGGTGTCCTAACTTTTGCGCCATTCCTGTGCTCAGGGTGTGTCACTGGAATTTATTGTGCCCCTGCATCCTTAAGCCTTCTAATGTTATTGTGCCCACTTCTTGTCTGGAAGACCTACCTTTTCCATTGGGGCAGTTCCTCTTGTTTGTGTCTGCTCCCTTACGGTTTCCCTGTCCTCTGTGCCAGTGAGTTACCCCTTTGCAGGTTCCTGCCTGGCGTTGTGTGTGTGTTGGGTGCCCATTGGGTCTGGTCTGCGGAATGGGGGCGGACAGTGGGAAGGGGGTTCTTCCTCAGGGCTAAGCTTAGTCGGTCGCCCATCTGGTCTGCCCAGGCCCCCCTTCTCTTCTGAGTTTCTTGTATTATGGCGTGTCCCATCCTATATCTGGTCTTACGCAGCGTAGAGTATCCAGGGCCTCCATAGCTCCGTGTGTTTGTCTCCTTTTCTCATCAGGTTTGCTATTCTGTTTTCTGCTGTCCGTATGTGTTCCAGTTTGCGTTTCCACCCATTTCTTTTTTCCCCAACATTTTTATTAAATCACCACCTCTGCAGTGTTTTTTTTTTTTTTTTTTATAGTAGCTATTCCTACAAAAGATAATTGGCCAGGATCGTTATGATGTGTACAAACATTTTGAGGCACGTATGCGCAGTAAGGAATTGTACATTTCCTCTTTACATGCAGGCTGACCCGATGTCATCGCACATGCGCAGCAAGGAACGCTCCATTGCGGTATATTGAGGGCCGCTGTGAACAAACTCTCCCAGCATTCGGATGGGCAGGAATTTATACTGGATTTACATATGGTCTGCTGGAAGAACCAACCACAAATCTACCACAACATGACATCATCTCTAATTGACATTTTAACACCGGAAGTCTTCTAGGAAACCAATTAGAACATTTTGTATCATCTGTTAATTATTATTATTCAGAGTGTATGTATATAAATCTTACTTATTTCAAAGTTAAGTCACACTTTTGATGAAACCCCATGGTGAAACACGGTAAGAGTACTTTTTACCCAGTTCGGATTTTAACATATATCATTATATATACATTTTGTTTATTTAATAAAGTTTATCCCTGTAAATTTATTTATTTGGCATCTACTTAATATCCCTTTGGTTTCCTGATTTTTATTGTACTTCTGGACCTGCATATCCCAGGTGGGGATTATACCACTAAAGCTCCACTAAACTAGAGCAGGTTCATGCTCTGAAAAATGTGAGTAAGAGACCTACCATTTTTCTTTTAGAAGAAAATAATGTATTAGACATGTTACACTGTTGGATGTTCTTGTTTATGTCTTTACATATTGTACTCTACCAAGGAAAGCACTATCACCACTGTTGAATATACCATCACTACTGCTATACTTACATCCTTAGACAGGGATTATACCGTCCACGCCTTCAACCTCCGAGCTCTATATAGCTTTTGAAAGTGTGAGTGAGCCTTCCTTACAATATATTACCCCATAACAAGTTAAAATACTACACTTAATTGTTTGTTATCTCTGCTTTTGTCATTTTGAGATATCCATCTATCAACAAGATTCTGTTGCATTTATGTATGTATATACTTCTATTTACATGTGGTTCCACTAAACCATTGGCGCAGATTATCTCCTTTTTCTTTTTTCTTCTGTGTTTTCACAAGGTTGGGGAAATCTTGTGTGATAATCTGCAGCCCCTATCTCTCTCTTAAAATATAGCAAGCACCTACACCATGTTTTTGTTTACTTGTCACGATGCACTCATTTTTTTCAAGAGGTAGGACTGATAGCCAATGTACAGATTTACTTAAAATGCTTGTTAAATATATGAGCCTTCCCTTTGCAAGCCAATCAGTTCTCCGTATTGCAAAGCAATCTGTGCTACGTACCCAGCAAGGTTATAAAATGTGGTCTAAACAGATTTCCAGTCAACACAGATTAAACATCACATTGTCAGAATATTTATATCGGCAGACATTTTGTGCTAAGATAAAAATTATCTGCCAATCACACTTAAAACAAAGCTGACTCCATTTTGGATTTCAGGCAAGACAGACACAAAATTTCTTTTTTTTTCAGTAACTAGCCACTAGCTGAGCTTAGGACTGTGTTATGTAAACAAAGCAATGAAGTCTCCCAGCAAGGATGGGGGATGGATCACTAAGTCCAGAAACAAGTATATATATTATATATACACATCTAACCACTGTATACTTATTTTACTATTATAGTAAATACATATAATCAGTATTATGTTAATAATCTAGACCATTCATGGATAAATATTCATGAAGAAATATCATATTATTTAATAAATATTAGTGGAATAGAAAAATAATGTCTCACAGTTTCACTAGAAAGCCAGACACTAGTGATAAATAACACATAGTAATTCATTTTACTTTCTAAATCTTACAAGGTCCCATTGTAGACAAGGGGTGAAATTAAGGTTTAGACGTGTCAGAAAATAGATTTAAAGGTATATTGCCACCATGATGTCTGAGACAAGACTAGGAAAAACCAAAGAAAATGCTTTGAAGCTGACAGCAAATTTGAGTTATAGTGGCCATTTAGATAAACCGAAATTACGTCAGAATCGTCATCAAAATTAGTTAACTCTTTCAAGGACAAGAAATTTTGGTGATGTAAGGGCGCCATCTACTGACTAAAATCTAGATGATGGCCACACCTTCAGGGCCCTATAGGTCCAATCACTCCTGACGTACAGAGAGTCTGGCCCTTTAAAAAGTAAAGACAAAGGGAAGAGAGATTGAGATTCAGATCCGGACATTCAGAGAGATCCAGGACAGATATTCAGGACACTCTGTGACTAACACTCAACTCTCATACTCTTTGACTCAACTCAAGAAACACCTATTGAACACTTAGAATTTTACTATAACTTTCCAAACCAATATCACATGCACACCTCCTTACAAACATTAAGCACACTTCATTCCTGGGACTATCTAATCATCTGATGAGAGCATCTACATAACTGGTAATTATGCTGGTTTTATTTAATTAATTTCAATGAATTAAAAATTTACTAAAAGCAGGATATATGCCTGGATAAATCAAGGTCAGATTTCAATATTTAGAAATCTTAGTTGACTAAAGAATATATAGCTATAAACATTCCATTCTGCAAGTGGAATCAAGATAATTCTATATTAATGTGATATTTATCACGTGTTAGTATACTGCCGTTTTTATCCAGATGTATTGATTTGCTCTAAAATAAGATCGTGTATCTTATGTAGAGTTAAATTCGGCTTTTGTAAAATCTGGTAGATTATTCTTATTGGATGGTTCCAGGAAATGAGTAATGAGCTGGTTTGAACGTTATTGTAATTGAAAATAGCAATAGAATAGGATATTATATGCCTAAAAGGATTCTAGCCAGTATTGAAAGAGTTAATCAGGATCTAACTGATAGCCAGGATTTTATGACTTCTAGCTGTGCTCTGAGGAATTCTGTATTCTGTGTGAAGTTTTGCTTTCTGTGAGATTGTTTACCTATCGTAAATTATGTTACGTCTTGACAGTTGGTTGCTCTTAGCAGCTGGATTTGCTTAAACATTGCCATTCGGTTGTATACTTATGTTATACTAAGTATTCACTGATTATTATCACGCATGTTACATATTATTTTATTATTATGTCACAATAAATTATATTAATCAAATAGTGATTTATTTGTATGGAGTAAAAATCTTCTAAAATTATGATGTTCTCTAGGATCTAAGAATTAAAATAGTGGGTAATTTTCAAGATATCAATTTTGATATAATAAAAATTATTAAATTAATTTTTGATAATTTGTATGAAAATATTATTTTAATATGTATTACCCCATAAATATCCCCACAATATAAAGCAGGAGTGTTTCCTATGAATGAATACACAAAACAAAATTACCTAGACAGGTGTTTATTCACCATCGCTGTCCATAGCCACACGTGAACCGCTTGATGTCTCAGCAGCACGTGCCAAGAGGTCTGCCATCAGAGCTTCTTCAAGTTTCTTTCGAACATGATGAACCCGCTCCTCTTGTTTCCTAAATGTCACAATAATATGAACAGAAAGTGGATTACTGACTTTTTCCAACACTGTTTTCTGTTATAAAACATGCAGTTTTGATTTAGGATAGTGACATTCCTAACAGGTACTGACAGTTGAAAGTGTAAGTCCTGATTATGCAATGTTCCATATCAAGGTACAGGAAGCTGGTACAACTACTGATTGTTTGAACAAATGGCCTTAAAGGCCAAAGCTGCTGTGTTACGAACTACACAGGATAGGACAAGCCCAGCTCCATTGCTAAAAATCTAAATAAAATGCACGCTCCTAACATTTAGTTTCTGGCAAATCCCAAAAGGCAAAAACTGGTCAAATATACATAAAGAGTCAATGGGAAAGTTTAACATATTCCATTTACATAGCATATATTTTGCATTCCTGGCATCAGTGAAGTGCTGGAAGACTCCTTCAAGCATGATTTGTAGCAATGGCTCAGCTTCATTCATCTATTGATTAAATGACCTGACTATATTAAATATTAATGAGTATGCAATCACACAAAATGCCGTGATACACATTGACTTGATAGGCAGAAGTTTTGCAAATAAATAAATAAAAATCCTGTTAAAAACATACAAGCCAAGTAGGAAAACATAAAATGTAACCATGGCTAACCAAACACATTATTTATAATGCACCAACAGATTCCACAGCGATATACATATAACTGTGTTTGGACAAAATATTGAATAATAATAATAATAATACACATACTTTTTCCCATTTGCTGAACTAACTGAATCTCAAAAGTAGCACTTACATTGCAGAAAATCAACAACTTTAGGCAGAGCTCTCCATCCCTTTTGAACCAATTTGTCTGATGTATTGCATTGCCTTTATCCATTACTGGTTAACTCACTCGTCGTACAGTAATGCAAACATTTTTGACATTTTATTAATAACAAATTTTAAATCCCAATTACAATTGTGCTTAAAATTGTTATTTCATGCATCATAACCACTACAGCCCTCAGTAGATGCCATTAGTACCTGGTGCCATTTTGAAATGGATTGCCCCTTTTCTGGGTACTGCCGAGCTGCAATGAATGGCATCCACTGTCTGCAGAAGCCAGACGACGATATTGCAGTTTGTTCAATGGCATAGAGTCAGCTCAGTAGACTCTTGTTCTGAACTATCTAATAAAAGCTTCCAGAGGTTACAGCCCCACTGCAACATTAAAGAAACACTCCAAGCCCCAGGATGATTACAGTAATGGTTATGAGACACGAGTGACTTGGCACTTTGGAGCTCCTAAGCAGGAGTTTCCATTAGCTCTACTGAGTTAAGCCCTTGGCTGTGAGTGTTATCTGCTCTCGGTCGTTCGTATTGAAAGAGGGGAGTGCAGTTGACACTAGGTAAAAAGTCAACCTATTCTAAAACAGTTTGACTGCTTACTATCTATCTATCTATATATATATATATATATATATATATCAAAAATACATATAAGGTGCACTCTCAGGTCTTAACAAGTGGTTAATTTATTCTTAAATGCAAATTACATGTGCAAAAAAATATTACAGTGATCGACGTTTCGACCCTTATAGGGCCTTTTTCAAGATCAATCAATTGATGTATTTTTGATATTTGTACTGATGCTGAGGTTTGCACCCAGGCAAGAATATCAACATATTTAGCATCAAAGGGTGAGTGCCAAGTTCACTTCATTTTTATATATACACACATATATATATATATATATATATATATATATATATATATATATATATATATATATATATACACATACATATACACATATACATACACACACACACACATACACACACAAGATCCATTGCACTCACTCATTCACTAAACAGCAACTTCAAAGCTCACTGAAATAAATAGTTTTTTTTGGTTTTGTTTTTTAGAACACTAACCTCGCCATAAATTATGGGGGTCTAGTTACAGTAAATGATCATACATTGAATAAGCCTGCCACAACACACATATATACATACACACAGGCATACTCTATCTATAGATGTAACATTGGCGAGACCTACAATTAATCTCAATAATTACTAAAGGACACATACTTTTGGCCATAAAGTGTATGTATGCGCATACATAAATTATTTTTACGGCTAAAAGCAACATCTCACAAATATGAAACGTTCAGCTGCTAAAGAAAATATATATTATATTGTATATATAAAATGTATATTGTTATCTTATTATAAAACTCAAATGTCTTTATTTAACTGGCAACTTTTTTTTCCTCTACCTCAACCCAAAAGTATTTTTACAATCTTTTTTGTCTCATTGCTCATCCTACATAAAACCTCTCAATCCCACTGATGTTTACAAGTAACATAGTAAGGTTCTTTACATTCAAACTGTATAAATCTGCCAGCATCTGAATACAGTCTCCATGACGCATAGAATGTATAATGCCCAGGAGATTCTTTGTAAGAGGCTAAGACTGCAGGAGACTTATCACTAACATAACAGTTTTCACACAAGAATGGCACAGGGATATAAGACATCTGTTTCTAAGGGACTCATGGTGTGCTGTGAACAAGCTTTGAACAGCATGCAACATTTTCAGTAGTGACGTACATTTACTTAGATCAGTGACCCCATAAATATTGCTCCAGATCAGTGACCCCATAAAATATTGCTCTTTGCTGGTTCAAATAAAATCACAAACTAAACAACTATAACAACCAAATGTATGCATGTTTAGCCAGGAACATAACATGTTAACCCCTTTAAGGACCAAGCTATTTTGAGATGCAACACGTTTGTGACTAAGGCCTTTTTTTGCCATGCATTCATTCTACCACAATTTCCCCCTTTCTGTTTAAATGCACCCATACATATTTTAAATAAGAAGAAGATATTTTATTTTTAAATGGGGAAACATATTTTTTCCCTCAGTTTTACATGCAATAATTTCTGCACACCAAGTGTATGTAAAGAAAATTAACTCAAAATAGATTCACGAATTGTTAAAATGCCCAATATGTCTAGGATTTCAAATATTTTTTTAGAACATATAAATCAAATACTGTAAGGAGTAAATTATGGTTTTAATGCAAAACCTTTGCAAAATATTGTAAAACACTATGGTATAATCTCAAACTTTAAAAGTAATCACAGAGTTAAAAAAAAAGAAAAAAAAAAAAAAAACACTACACAAAAGTGTAAAACTGTAATTATGAGCATTTTGGCACTTTTCATTTAAAGCTTTACTGTCACGCTGTACTTGCCTTTTCCCAATTATCTCTACTACCCTTCCTCTTCCCTACTCACCTTCTTAATTTTTTCTTGCATTTTTCATCTATTTCTAACTAAATGCATAAGACAAAGTATGGACTTCCTTAGACTCTGGGTGGAGCTTAAATAAGCTCCACTTTCTGCGTCTAGGAAAGTTTTTCCAGAATACTCACCTTTCTTCTGTATTCTTGCATTCTGTAAAGTGAGCATGTGCGGGAATTTCACCGCGTGAGCTGGTGTAGGCAGATGAGTGTGATGCGGTAAACGTAATTTTCATGAACACTAAGATGGCGACACTTAGGAAACGGATCCACAGAAGAAGTGAGGCAGTAAATAAATGTGAACCTAGAGGTATTTGAGGGTGATTAGGGAGACAGTAAAGTGTAAGGGAGTCATGAGAGGGGTAAAAAAAAAAAAAAAATGCAGTTGTTATAGTGCCTTTTAACAATTTTATCACAAACCTATGTCAAATTAGTTAATGGTTTGTGGGTTTTTTCCCCCCACAGGTTTTATTTTGGGAACATTTACAGACCATTAGCGTCTTACTAATGAAAACACCACATATTTGTATTCTGCTACTGTTCGAGTACAATGATACCCCACATGCATAACATTTCCCTAATCCTGTCTAAACCAACATATGGAGGGGCTGAGGGGTGAAACACTTGGAGGGGCTGAGGGGGTCGGGGGGAGAAGAAACATGGAAGGAAAGGGGGAGGAGGAGAAACATGGAGGGGATGGGGGAGGAAGAGAAACATGGAGGGGATGGGGGAGGAAGAGAAACATGGAGGGGATGGGGGAGGAAAGAAGAAACATGGAGGGATGGGGAGGAGAGAAACATGGAGGGATGGGAGGAAACCTGGAGGGATGGGGGAGGAGAGAAACATGGAGGGATGGGAAGGGAAGAGAAACATAGGAGGGGATGGGGAAGGGGAAGAGAGAGAAACATGGAGGGATGGGGGAGGAAGAGAAACATGGAGGGGATGGGAGGGAAAGAGAGAAACATACTGGAGGATGGGGAGGAAGAAAGAAACATAGGAGGGATGGGGAGGAGAAACATGGAGGGATGGGGAGGATGAGAAACATGGAGGGATGGGGAGGGATGAGAAACATGGAGGGATGGGGGAGGAAGAGAAACATGGAGGGGATGGGGGGGGAGGAGAAACATGGAGGGGATGAGGGGGGAGGAGAGACATGGAGGAAAAGGAAAGGAGGAGAAACATGGAGGGGATGGGGGGAGGAAAGGAGGCACATGGAGGGGCTGTGGGAGAAAAGGTACCCTGGGGGCCCTTGGTACCAGCAGAGATTTAACAGCACTGATCTATGCTATCACAGGCTATTAAAGTCCTGCACTGCATGATGGCATAGTCATGTGGTCCTTTGTGGTTAAAGAATTTAAAAACAATAAAAATAAATAATATGAGGTTTACATTGCAGTACTAAGACTACCTCTAGTGACTGTCTACCAGACAGCCACTAGAGGCACTTTCTGGAGTTTCATGGATTTTGGCTCTGTGAAATGTTGCTGGATGTCCTCATGCTTTGTATGTGGACATCCAGCGTCAGAGAAAACCCCACAGGCTCAGCCGATACCAGCACGACATTTCACTCCTCCTTCGTGCGCCTAACCAACGGGAGCCAAGGATCACTCCGGACACCCAATGGGGACTCTCCCTTAGGGTCCGTGAACTGGAGGCAAACACGCCAAGCCCGAGTGAGTTAGACATATACACGACATCCCCAAGGGCATATGATATATGACAGACAATAGGTGGTGAAAAAAAGACAAGTCTCCGCAGACAAAGACGGGCAACCCATATGACCCGCACTACACCGGGACGCCTGACACACACTACAAACAAACACAGGGAAAAGGCAGGGGGATCCCGGGAAGGTAAGAAGGGGGCACAGAGGCTAAAATATAAGATTGTAATACCTACATACTCCCTTCACCCTCCAATTGAGATGCAGTGATCCGCAACAAGTCAGATAACTAAAGGTCATGCAAAATTGAGTTCAACCACCAATTCATGAACATACCCAGCCACCTAATTCACGATATTTAAGCCTAAATGGGGGGAGCAACCTGAAAAGTGTACCCACTCGGGTCTATGTCCCTTAAAGCGTTATTTAAACACTACTCTTTCCTTTCTTTCTGTATCACCTAATGTTTTGAAAAATATTCTAATAAACAAAGATTGACAAAAAAAGAAAACCGCATAGGAAAGCACTCTTGCGTGCAGAGCGCTTTAGGTCAACACATCAGATGGCATGTAAGAAGACGGAATACGACCCAACGCACAGGAACCTTGACAATGGAATCAGATAAGTGAATAAATGGTTATTTAACCATTTACATTGCTGGGTGGGGCGTGGGGGCTGAGGAACACATTAGTGTTAGGAACACATCTTTGTATTCCCAGCACTAAAGTGTCAATTTAAAAGTGCAGATTTCAGCTGTCAATCAGGTAGTGAGGAGCGTTTTCTTCCTCACTCACTCGGAGCACTGGCTCAAAGCTGAAATTAAGGAATCTCATAAGGAAGCTTAGGATGTTTTTCATTAGAAACAGTCTATTAGGGGACTATGGCAAGTGCTGCAATGGACTGTAGAACTCCTGTACTTCTATACGAGAAAAATTTGATTAACTCAAGAGATCAGAATTCTATTTAAATCACAACTTAAAATCACTAGCCAGTGACACTACTTAAATCATTTGTTTTCTACGTAAAGACTATTTTCTTGTTGGTTGTTACATTAATATTTACAACAAGATGAAGGTTTCATTTCCCCAAGAACAACTTTTCGCCGGGTCTTGGATCTAGTCACTGCATGGTTTGCATTTCACACATTCCTGGCTAACTTATCAGTAAAGGAACCTCATTAAAATATTCCTAAACTGTGTCTTTTTCACAGTCTGCTGCCATTAGTTTTTTCCTCCAGGATAATAAACCTTAAGATATATACACAGAGATTCCAAGGCTTGTATTCTGCTCAGAAAGTCTTGCTTTAATATTTACTGCTTGCTCCTTCCTCCTTAAGCTTAGTACAAACTATTTTCTATTCACTGAACATCTTGAAATTTAACACTTAAAAGGTAAGGTTTTGATTTTGTGTACATACATTTGCAGACTAAGCAGATTTTTCTGAACTCTGTAGGCTTATTTTATACATTTTTATTTGGGCAAACACAAATTTGGCAAAAACTGTCCTAAATAGTTTACATAGAATTAATTTACAGAAAGTTGAATAAACTTTGGACTGTAATGTACCTTAAATAGAAAACTATCGATGGGTAGATTATTTCCTCAAATAATAATAAAGAATCTTATTGGATAATACTTTCCTATGGGGAAATCCTAACGCGAGTGGGGCCATTGCCAGCAGGGGAGGAGTGAAGGCAGACCCAAGCCAGTGCCGAGGGACATCGGCGCTGGACCCGGGTAAGTGACAGAAGGGGACGCGAGGGAGAGGGAAGCTATAGAGCCAGGAAAAAAAGTTTGTTTTCCTGGCACTATAGTTTTCTCTTTAACCCCTTAAGGACAATTGACATGTGTGACATGTCATGATTCCCTTTTATTCCAGAAGTTTGGTCCTTAAGGGGTTAAATATTTGTTGAGAGCTTTTTTTTTTTTAATCAGATATAGACCATTTTAGTGGGACCTGAAGGGCATGTAGAGTTTTAGGGACACAGTCTCATTTGCCCTACCCTTAAATAAGCAATTATTTCCATTGAAGAAAGGTTTGACAGATCTACTGCAGAGGAGAGAATTTTGGGGGGGATTATATACCCATATTTGACTTTTTTTAGTTTCCCTATTGAGTGTAAAATTCCTAAGACTAGGTGGTATGCATCTAAATATATTATTTTACATGAATCCATGTCCTCAAAAAGCACATAAGATATAAAAGGCATGTGGCAATGAGTTAAGGTGGTTTAAAGAACATCCACAAAGGTTTCATGGGACCCATGGGCAGTCCAGGAAAATGGAGAAGGGGCTCACTGGCAAATTTAATGAAGTGAGGGTTATAAGAAGCTTTTAAATGACAAATTAACTTCACATTAGGCTGCCATCTAGTGGTTAGTCTATTTGTACACATCAATACTACAGCAAGAAGTGAAAGAAAAGGCCAACATTTTTAAAGTTGCACTCCATAACAACATATGATCCATGCTACAATGAAAGAGGTACCCCTTGCCATGTTTTCCTGTATACTGCTTCTAATAACTTTACCAATCTGCAAAGGTCACTGTAACTATAGGCTCAGCTCCCAAAACTAGGTCACAAAGGGAAGCGAAGGAATAAGGTGTGTATGGAGGGAAGTAATGAAGTAAACCCTGTCTTCCATTTACAGTGTCATTAAAGGAACACTCCAAACACCATATCAACTACAGCCCACTTTAGTAGTCATGGTTCTAGATCTGTTCTGGTTTCATCCCCGTGCAAACAGTCAAACCTTTTGCAAAGAATTTGAAAACTTACTTTTTTGTCTGACGGTTGCTGCCGTCGCCTCTGGAGCCAAGAATCTCCCAGGACCGAGTTAGCCTGGCATTGCAGAGAGCTCAGCCAGTGAGACAGCCCTTCTATGCTCAGCTTAATGTAGATAACAAAAGTACCTATCATGAGCTTCCAGGTTCTAGAGGAGGCAGCTAGTGATTGGCAACTGGCAGACCCCAGATAAGTTTTCAATCCTTTTTCAAACTGACATACTACTTATATTGGGTGGGTGCCTTATGGCACTTGTGGCACCATAACCAGTACAGAAGGTTGTGGTGTTACGTTGTTTAGATTATACCTTTAAGACCACAGCAGTCGGATATCTGTCTCTATGCACCTTGCACTATAGTGTTCCTTCGCTTAAGACATAAGTAACCACTGTGGCAATTCCCAGGCCTAAACAAGCAACCCACGTAGCCAGCCTCATGCCTTGTTGAGCAACCCCTGCAGAAATCACTAGACCTTGACAAGCAATCCTCAAAACAGGCCCTTTACTCTACCAAGCAATTCTCAAATCAGTCCCTTAATATTGGAAAGCAATCCTCAAGGTAATTATATTGGCCTTGATAAGCAAACCTCGCATCAACGCTTTTGAAAGGCAACAATAATCTCTGATCTTAATATAAAGCACTGCTTCAAGTTTAGGAAAAAACAAAATATCTTACCGAATATCCTCATCTGTGACAATAAAAGCTTTACAAAGTGGTTGTGATGTGTTTAACCAGACCGCTGGATTCTTTTCTACAGCTGCTGACAGCTGGCCTGTTATTGGAGCAGAGCTTGTGTGAAGTGCACTTGCAATAGCAGATAGAAGGGTGTCCTCGTTATTCCCAGGACCAACCCCTGCAAGGAGGAAGAAAAACTAATTAAGTTCTTTAAATGTTAAAAAATTCAAATACTTTGGATTCTTAAGAAAGATTAAACACTTTCTCTACAAAATCATTAAACTAAATTTCAAATTGGGTACATTGATTCAGGTGAAATATTTGTTTAAAGGGACACTATGCGCCATATTCAGTAGAGCTCTGTTTAACCCAGGTTGGCCCTGTGCTCTCGGCCTATCACTGTAGTCCATGTTAGACAGAACTGACATTGATAATGTGAAAATAAATCTATATTTCATTTTGTCAATATGGTTAAGGAGGAAGTGGTCTCTGGGTACAAGGACACACTGTTCTCTGCCAAATCTCTCACAAATAAATTGACAAAACCATTGGTGAGCACTCACAGTGAGTCAAGGTTTAATGTCAAAACAATGTGGAACAACCTGACAAAAAAAAACAAAAAAACATCCTATTCAGGTTGCCTGGTGACTTCGTCCTTCTCCACAGCTGCATTGCTAATGAGGAATTAGCACTTTCAAGTGGTGTGGCTGTCCTACCATAATTTAATAGTAAGATGGGAGTGGGGAGTTCAAAGAAGAAGACTCCTCCTCCCAGTAAATATGGGAGAGGTCACAAGCAAGTGATTAAGAGATTCATTTCATACCTTGGAGGCCTTTAGGAAGCTCCATTGGTCGTATAATTTGTTCAGTAACATCTGATGCACTAAGTCCCTCTAGCCTCTTCTCCCAGAAAAGCTGAAATTAAATAGCAAACATTTACAAAATAATATTAATCGAAAAATATCACCAAATAATAAAGCTTAACTTTAAAATAAATGTTAAGGTTTATGACGCATATGGTATATTTATAGTACAGATATTACAATGATCACATCTATGAGGTCATCTAAACACTAGTCGAAAAAAACATGAACAACAGATTGTAGCAACACCTATTCTGATCACTTTGTTTAATTTATAATTAGAAAAACAGTATGGTTCTGACATTTTGTTAATCTTTCACTGCTAAGCAAAGAATATGTTGGGCAACTAAAGTATATTGTCATAACTTCTTATCGGTGATATTATAATCTGACCCAAGGTGAAACAACTACAGCTGAGAGGAGGCATATGGATTCAACCAATACATTATATAATATTTATGCACCAACAAGATTTATCTAGGCAGGACAGTCCATTTTATTATTTTTCTGTACCAACCTTACAATTAACAGCGACTTGCATAATTACCCGTTTTCCAAGGTGACAGGTTTGTCTTAGTTTTGCTCAAAACTATTTTTAAATATAATAATTATTTCATCAAGTTTTGAAACAAAATAGACATGCTTTTAAATGACAAAAAAATAAAACGAGAAAAGCTCATCCCTACCATTAGTGTATGACAGGATCCTTCAGCCATATTCATGCATCTTGGGTCAGACAGTGTTTTAAAAAACAACAGTTACAGGGTTATCCTCTAAAGTGAGAATTTCTGCAATTTTTAAACTAATTTAAAACGTAAGGCCAAAATGACCAATTTACAAAAAAAATCTCCATGTCTGTTCTATGTCCAGTTTGGCTATTTTTGCCTTACATTTGAAATTCTATTTTAATTCACCTTTGGCCTCAGAACTATACAGAGCTCCATCAGCTGATCTAATGCCCTAAGCACAAGGTAATCTTTTGTAAGACCTTATGATAATATGCAGGATAATGTCTTAATATTTTACACACTCTAATAAAAAATACCCCCACACTACTTTGAAACGGCAGCCTCTATTGTCATACTTCAATATGTTCTCAGCATATTACATATGTTCTCACTTTTATGTCTTGGCCATTATGCTAAAGTCTGGTTTTACCAAACCTGCTCCATATATTTGGCTTGTTTAATTAATTGTTCTATTCACCTACATGCATACCTCTAATGTTTTTTTCTCTGTGATTTCTGCCCTTCCACCCTTTGTTGTCTTGTGGATACATACCCAAATGTTTGTTTTGCTTGAATAACCCTCACCTCACTTCTCTTGATCCTATTCCCTCGTATCTCATTCACACTGTCTTCTCGCATGTTCGCTGTCTATGTGTTCTCTTTGACTCCGACCCTTTACCCCTCACGTTCAGTTGATCGTCAAAGCCTGCCACTTTCATCTCAAAAACAGAGCATATCTGCCTCTATTTAACACCTGATGCTTATATGGTGCTTGTTTATGCTACTATCCTCTCTCGCCTTGACTACTGCAAGCCACTTGTCAGCGGTCTTAAGTGTTCCCAAATTGCAGTAATACACAACACACCCAACTAGGCCCCATGCTCTGCTGAAGACCTGCGTCTATCCTCTGTTCATACTCTCACCTCTGATGCTCATCTTCAAGACTTCTCTAGGACTGCCCGTTCCTGCGGAATTCCCTTGCCTGCTCCGTTAGACTTTCAACCAGCCTCCATTCCTTCAAAAAATCATTGAAAACTCACTTCTTCAGGAAAGCATATCAAACAGTTAATAGCTTTCCCTCCCTACACCTTGCTTCCTCTCCTGCAAATGTAAACCAAAAAAAATAAACACTAAGCCCTCACTGAATACTACTCTAGCAAATTACGTTTCTATCCTACCCTTTTGTGTCAGTATACCCCACTCCCTCTAAAATGTGAGCTCATTGAGCAGGGCCCTCAATCCTTCTGTGACGGTGAATCCAACTCGTCTGGTAACAAATACTTGCGCCTGTCCACCCATTGTACAGCGCTGCAGAATCTGTTGGTGCTTTATAAATAACTACCAGCAATTCGCACTTGAGTTAATCACCCTGCTAGCCTCTATGGTCTCCCTTGCTTTGCTTCAGGGTTGAACTTGATGGACTTTATTTAGTCTTTTCAACCTAGACAACTATGGATCAGCTATAAACCTATGTAACTCCTTGCAAAGAAGCCGGGAAAACTATAGAGAAAGTCTGTTTTCAAACACCTTCTGACCCAAAATGTATGTATATAACTGAAGTTGCCCATCATATACTAAAGGTAGGGATACGTTTTTTACATATACTTTATTTAAAAATAAATCTATTTCCTTCCAAAACTTTATGAAAGAATTATTATATTAAAAATAGTTTTGAGGTGACTGTTGTACTTAATCTATAATAACTATATTCCTAACCAAAAAATATTCAGCTTACCTCTTTGCTTGCTTTAACACTCAATATCCCACAATTTGTAAGGTAAATGGATTACATCAATGAATACAAAAAAATTACACACATTTGAAAATTCATTAATATGCCACATTTTACCTGCCCCCAACCCCTCGTAGTTTAAAGAGAGTCTCCTTAGCCTACAGAAATGGCATGCTATACTGCTACAAGCGCTACATGCATTTAGGTACAAACAACCTTGACCAACGATGTTATACTTCATCTGTATAACTGTACTGATATATGCAAATGTTCACTATTTTATCAAATATATCGCACAACACACCAGGGTGTTATGAAATTGATTTGAAAAAATACCACATATTCATACAGCAATAACTCACAAATAGGACAAAAAACATTTTGCTGTGAGAAATTTCACCATTTGATTAATCCCTCAATTGTCATAATTTATCATTTCCAGATAAGTATATTCGATAAACATGTTGAGGCAGACCACAGCTTCCGCCTGTTCCCCCTGCAGCCAATGGTCGGAACAACAGGGGTTGTGATTGTTCTGCCTGTCACAGGGGGCCAATGAACTGGCTGGCCCTGAGGCGAGAAGTTATGCGCTAAGACAAAGTAGGCACATGCTTACCCAGATGGTAAGTGCCTACTCTGGCAAAATATACAGAGGGGAGGCAGAGCATGGACGTCGAAGGAGATATAATCTTCATGCTCTTCACACACCGCTCCCTCACACGCTGCGCAGTGAAAACCTGAAAATGTAAAATACCACTATAGGCACCCAGACCACTTTAGCTTAATGAAGTGGTCTGCATGCCAGGCCCAGCTAAGGTTAACCCCATTTTTTTTTTTTATAAACAGTTTCAGAGAAACTGCTATGTTTAGGTTAGGTTTAATCCAGCCTCTAGTGGCTGTCTCATTGACAGCCGCTAGAGGGCTTCCGCGCTTCTCACTGTGATTTTCACAGTGAGAAGATGCTACCGTCCATAGGAAAGCATTGTAAATGCTTTCCTCATTGACAGCCGCTAGAGGGCTTCCGCGCTTCTCACTGTGATTTTCACAGTGAGAAGATGCTACCGTCCATAGGAAAGCATTGTAAATGCTTTCCTATGGACTGGCTGAATGCGCGCGCGGCTCCTGCCGCGCATGCGCATTCAGCCGAAGAGGAGGAGAGGAGGAGGAGAGTCCCCTGCCCGAAACTGGAGAAAGAGGTAAGTTTAACCTCTTCCTCCCCCTAGAGCCCGGCGGTATGTTTTCCTGGCACTATAGTGGTCCTTTAAGTAGGAAAACAAAAAAGGTACAGAACTCCATTAGTTCAACCTGCAAAGAACCCCATAACTGTGGAATTTAATGTAGAAAAGGAGGAGGTGTCTAGAAAGCTTTCTTTGATTGGTTTGACCTATTCAGCTAAAATTAATGGTTGGCGCTCTGCCACCTCAGACGTCACCCGATGGTGGGGAGAGAGGGCTAATGCACGGTGAACGCATTAAAGCCCTCCACACAGGAAAGCACTGCTTCAATGTGGGGATTTCACGTATGCTGGATGTTCTTCTGCAGAGCGGAGGACGTCCAGCGTCAGGCAACCTAACGTCGTCTAGCAAGCAGGAAGTGCCTCTACTGGCTGTCGGACTGACAGCCACTAGAGGCAGTCTTAATACTGCAATGTAATCAATGTAATCATTGCAATTTCTCAATCACTTCAAAAAATAACATTGCAGGACTAACTGGGACAGGGATACAATACACCTAGAAAACCAATAAGTCAACCATGAAAATTTCCCAGTTATTTTTAAAATGTTAAAGGAACACTCCAGACCCCTAGAGGACTTTAGCTTGCTGAAAAGCTGTGTGTGTGTGAAGTGTCCTCTGTTTTTCATTTTGCAAAAAAATGCAAATTTCAATAGAAATTGACACTTTTAAATATTAACCTAGTTACACACCCTTGGCTGTTAAGCAGACCAGAGGTCCGGCTAATTCCTGGTTTGTTTAATTGGGCTAAACTCAAGACGCAGCAATTGCCCAGAGCATCTGACTTGCAAACACTTCTCATTGAGCTGCACTGAGAAGTCTGATGATTGGACAGTAACAAAGTATAGGCTGAATTAGAAGGGAAGGGCAAAGGCAGCAGGCAAGGGAACAGCAGGTTTTACTAGCTGGTTTTAGATATAACCCCAATAAAACATTTTTTATAATTAAATCTGTGCAAGTTTTCATGGGGTAAATCTACTAAATAGTGTTTTTATTTACTTTGTATTTGGGCAGTGGAGTGTCTCTTTAGTGAAGATATATACATTGCATAGCTTTGTAGGTGAGCACTAATGAACAACATGCGCTCTATCCCAAAACCTCTAATCAACCAAAGACTGAATTGTGGTATGCATAATCAGTTGCATTTATGCTAGAATACTTTGCTGTGGTATGGTGAATACTTTGGCACGAATATACCAAGTACATGCATTCCATGCCTTTAACTTTCTGAAGAATACAGTATTTGCAGTGTGCATATCTCATGTGTGTTTTAATGATTTTAGTATAAAGTATTTTGTTTTTGGAGTGCTTATGTTTTGTGCTCTTCTGAATATTTCATACATTGCTGATTAATGACCTAGTATTGGAAACTGGCCTGGATTTTGGGTTGTGCACAATTTTACTTGCCAGTTTTTTTTGTTTTTTGTTTTTTTTTTACAGACTAAGGCTGTGTGCCCTCCATGCACAGATATCATATTTTAGTTATGAACTTTCAACAAGCGGTTAACCAAACTATAACTCCCAGATAGATTTGTTGTGCTTCTTTAGGACATATACAATTGTATTACAAGACAAGTGACAGAAAGAGAGACAACGGAGGAGGTGAGAGGGACAGAGGAGGCAGGTTTCAGGTGGCTCTATCACTCCCATATCAAAAATGTGTACTTTGTAAATATCAAATATTTATGAAACACTCAGATTGACTGAGGTAGGGACTACTTAGTCTCAGTATTTTTACTCCACTTGCCAAGTTTGATAAAAAGGTGGAGCTACCGATGTCAAGCATGTCATTTATCCCAGCCATCATCAGTGATGTTTGTAGGGGGAAAAAATGTGTTTTTTATGGAAAATTCTGCAATCTCGAGTTATACTCCATAGACCTCAATGGTGTACATTCATGCATGCGGATGAGTTCTGACATCTGCTCCAGTTAAAGCTGCAGAAGAGTAACCGGAAGAAGATGGCGATGCCCGTGAAGAACAGGTCCAGTTAAGTAAATCTCACCTTTCCCTGTCCCCTATGGCCACTGAACATCTAACAGCAACGTCAAATTATGCAAAGATACCAGACAATGAAAGAGCCACTTAAAATATATCTTGCAAAGACGTTCAAAGAAAAGCAGTGGCACACAGACCACCTTACCAGTAAGTGTCCCTTGGCAAGACAACTAATGCTATATATCCGCCTAACTCAAATCCTCATAGATTGCAAGCTTGTTTGTGCAGTTCCTTCAAATATCCCCTTTCTGTCATTGTAAATCACTGCAGAATATGTTGGCATTATAAAAAATACTAATAATTATGTTGGAAAAAAGCAAAATATACATAAAAGATTCCTGGACTGCCCACTGAAAATAAAAATATGATAAACAAAATGAATTTCTTCACATCACAGTTCAATATTTTCAGAATGAGCATTAGTGGTTTTGAAGTTGCGTATAAAATTAACAATGTGACTAATACTCATCACTTTCATATATCTGTGTTGTTTCAATAAAGTGATGTTATACGGATAGTTTAACGGTCTTCTAAGTGGACAGGCGGCCTTGGCCTATTTACTTCTCCTTGCATGGGCTATGATTTATTCTTACACACACTGTATATTTTGCAGCACACATCTGGAATCTGTTACAGTTTAAAATATTCACACTGAGTGGTAAGGGACCTAAATAACAACCTAGTGACAAAATACAAAGCAAGTGAATCATTGGAACAAACTACGGGAAGTGAAATTTTATAGCATATTTGCCCGATGTATGACTTTTTTAAAAAATGTATAGGATAGTGATGTATCAATTCGACCAAGTGTGGATTGTAAACATGCAACATGGCAATAATTACACGTTTTCTTTACTTATATTTCAATAGTATTAAAGGAACACTCCAAAGGGGATGCAGTGGTTAAGGTTCCAGGAGTTCGCTAATGCCCTTCCAGGGAAAGTAATCAAACGGTTTGCAACTCTTTTGACAAGTTAAGTGGGGTTTGCTGGACACTGTCACTTCCTCCAGGATAGCCTAAAGTTCTGAGCTAGGCCGGCAGTGCAAGGCGTAGTTCATTGGATGGGACCACTCAGCAGATGCTTCGGTCTTGCACTACAGGGTTTGTGAAAATGGTTTAACTACTTACTCTGGGAGGGTGCTAGGAGGCTGCTGGCACTATAACCACTACAGTGACTACGGTGCTTGGAGTATTCCTTTAAGACATTTTAGCCATCAGTTATGTTTGAGAGTTGGAGGCTGAAGTTACAAACACGGGTACAACACATTCTTAATTTATTTTACCATTACAGCAATAATACACTTCTTCATCAACATGGTAATTAAAGGAACACTCCAGGCACTGTAAAGATGACTACAGTGCTTGGAAGACCTGGATGTCAGTCCTTCCGTCCCAGTGTATTCTTCATCCATGGACTCAATGCAGAAACCTTGGACTGGGTGCCAGTGATATGCCGAGCGCGTTCGCTGAAAATGTCTCAATTATAAGTCAAAGATGGGATGAGAGCATAAGCTGATGCCATCAACCTATCTCCATATAGTAACAGCAAAGTAGTCTAGGCATTCAAGGTCTTCATAATCAGCAGATTTATTGTAAAAGCATGACCGAGACAGCAACGTTTCGATCCCTTCAAGCTTGATAATATGAAATGTGGTGCAAAACTAGCTTGTACAAGCTAGAGAACATCTATATATAACATAATATTAAAACATTCAAAGATTGTAGCTCCAAGCATAGATGAAATGCACTACATTTTGGGCTGTACACACACCCGCTGCACCAGCAGAGACGTAGTTTGCATCTCTATGCATATTTGCACAAAGATAGAAATCATTCTAGTTTACGTAAACATGTATCTGCAATATATAGTTAGCACAATGTAAGAGGAAATTTTATTTTACATTTCTTACAAAATGACCTTATCAAAAGATCAAATAAAGCCCCCCCATCATGCAATCAGAAGCAGTTAGCTATGTAAATTTGATTAACAGTTACACTTTGAAAGGTTACTTAAATCGATTTCCAATTTAGATTTACAAGGCCTTCATTTTATCCAAGACATAATACCATAGTCCTTGATTTAGCTGTATCTATGCACTCATGGGATTATATAAAAAAAAAAATGATTATATATTATAAAATAAAACCTATTCGCACACACAAAAGTGGGGAGGATATTTCTATAATTAGGTATTTAATCGAGCTCCTTCACCACAAAGGAAATTAAAGGGTGGCTGTTTAAAGCACAGATACATCCTGTTGGTCTTTTCTTTGGTTTTGAGAGGGACTGTGTCACGCACACATGAAGCATACTTTATTGTGCTAATAACCTCTCTCTCTATTTTGTAGTTGATGCTTTAAGTTGCTATTAATCTTAGTAATTGAAGGTTTTAACATACCGTGGCATGCTGAGCTGTAACACATGACATCAGCTTTCTATGTCAGTCATAGAAGATGCCGGACTCTGAAAACATGGCAAGTGTCAAACATTTACTTAGCCAGAGGACACCCTCTGTTTCCATAGAAGGGAGAGTTTGGATTTGTGAAATATGTTTGTCAGGGCTAGACCCGGACCTGTGCCACCATTCCCTCAGCAGTGTGTGAGGAAATGGTGGCAGTGTAGGGGTGAGAAAGTGAATCTAAAATGCTTTATAAGAAGTAATAGCATCAGACGGGTGATATGACATGGACAATAGAGAGGAAAAAAATGTGACAGGTGGAAAGAGATGGATGGCAGGATTATAAGCATTTTTAAAATATAAATAGAGGATGTAATAAGGAGTGTATATTAAAATTGTGGAGGGAAATTAAATTAAGTCAATTGTATGACCCAGGACATACTTGAAAACGAGAGAAATCTCAATGTATCCATCCTGGTAAAATATTTTATAAATAAATTTGAATTGATGAGTAAAAAGATGCTTTCTTGTGTGTGAAATAGCATGCTGTATTTCATTTTTTAGTAGCACCTCCTGTGGCATTAACATCCACAGGAAGCGGTCTGGTCACACGTGTATACAATCCCATATGTCACATATACCTCAGCTGTACAGCGCAAAATATATTAACATTGCAGCTAGCGGATAATTTGCTTAATGACCATTTGAATACGTACATATGCTTCTCTGCAAACATCAATTTAAAATTAATTTTAAAAAAAAGCAACAAAAAAAAAAACCTGCATTATGCCTGTAATATAGGTTAGGGGTCATCAACATCTGTCTGTATAAGGGCAGGATGCCATGTTGTATAATGGATGGAAGTCCGAATTAGTTTATATATCTATCCTTCTCTCGATTCTCAATGCCACTGATCCTTTTTTAGCAGCGTACCCAGTGTTCTCTACCAGTGCCACCCTTCTCTCAATTCTCACTTCAATTACCCCTCTTTTTAAGCAGTGTCCACCAAGTTGTTGTTTTTTCTCCCAGTGCAATCCTTCTTTCAATTCTCATGTCCATTGCCCCCCTCTTCTTTTGTAGTGTCCCACCAGTGCCACCCTTCTCTCAATTCTCACCACCACTTTGCCTCTTGTTTAGAAGTGTCCAGCCAGTGTTCTCTCCAGGTTTCTTACATTACCATGGGATTTTTTATTTTTTTAAATCTACTTGTCCATGGGATTTAAATGGTGGCCCAATCTATTTGTCCTTCATGACAATCTACTGGTCCTGACACAAAATTATTTCAAATTAGAAAGTTTGGGGACCCTGCCTCAACCCAGACATTGGCAGGGTTATTCACAAAGTTTCCCCCAAATTAATCCAAATGTAAAAATACGTAGTGTCTGGTGGTGCGAGGAAGCCATGAAGAGGGTAGTACACACAAGCAGCACAGAATGTGTTATTTTTGCACACAGCTCCCTTGTGGATCACTCTGCAGTAATGTCAAGCTACAGTGAAAGCTACCTAGAAATTTGTGTAGAACTCTCTCTGTGTGGCTCCTCTTCTATTGCTGGTGCAGGCAGAAGTGACAATCTCTTGGGCCAGATGCCAATTATTTTCATGAAGTCAGTTAACAGGCCGCTATTGTGCTGGGGTAGGGCCTAATAAGGCCAATGAGCAACAGGTTGCCGACTCCTGCTTCAGTATTCAAATAAAAGATCTGCAACTGTTGGCAAACTACAACTCCTAATAACCTTTGCATGATAGAAACACAGCAAGTGGCTTGCAAATGTCAAAAGTAATGTAGTTTATGAACAGCTGGAGCGCTCATATTTGAACATTCCTGCCCTACACAGATAACTTCATGTCTGCTCTTAATGTGAGTATCTGATTGGAGCATCTGTTCAGCCTGGCTCCAGATGGAAGTTAATGCAAATCTGTATTTTCATAGTCACAAGCAATAAAAGGGTTAAAAGATACAGAGTAATAAAAGGTCACAATTTATCAGTTTCAAACCACAACCAATTATCTACTCAATTCTAAATTCTCAAATGATCAATAGGGGTCTCACGATCTGTTGTAGACAGGACTAACAACATTTAAATAATCTGGTGCAAGGTCTATGAAGAGACCAATAATCCACAGTCAGTAAGCAATCACATACTGCATTGCTAAGCATTTGCATTTCATGCGATTTGTGCTCAAGGGGAGCTCTTACATTAAATTACTATATGCACCAAAAGAACTTTAAAGTAACACTATAACATTAGGAATACAAACATGTATTCTTAATGCTACCGTGCCGTTTTCCCTATTTATATTTATCCCTTTTAAGCTGAAAAAAGGGAAGAAGAAAAAAAATAAAATAAAAGATTTTTCCTTGCACAAGACTAGCTCTGTGCTACCAACTGCGCCTCCTCCTGCTTTGTCATCCTAGAGGAGACACTTCCAAGATCATGGCCCAATCCAATGTTCCTCATACAGAAGTACTGGGATTGTTATACGCATGCGTTTCTCATAAGGGAAGCATTAAATCCAAGACTGAGTCAAACTTGGTAGTTGCAGAGGAAGCTCCTCAAGTAGCTGTCAGGAAGTAAGCCACTAGAGACGTGTTGAACCCTGCAATGTAAGCAATTCTTATCTTGCAGGGTTAAAACTACAGGAAAACTGCAGCCAGACCACCTTATTGAGATGAAGTGGTCTTGGTGACTTTAGTGATCCTTTAGCGAAGCGGCTTTGGTGTATAGATCATGCCCTTCAATCTTACTGCTCAGTTCTCTACAGTTTAGGAGGTAAATAAGCTATTAGGGTTAAGGTGTCGGTCTATGAAACCCTATCCACATTCCACCTGACTGACTAACGCAGCCTCTATGAAGAAAATGGTTTCCTTTCCAATCAGATTTTACAGCACAGTCTGTTTATTTTAGATTGTCTTAAGTTCTGCTAATTGAAATGTAATCACATACAGGAAGCTGATGTAGGCTCTAGTAGGAGAGACGGAATTTTAAAATGTATCACTTTACAGTAAGGAAAGCTAGAAAATTTACACTATTTCAGGAAGTGTGCAGGGTGACGGTGTGAGTCTGGGCCAGGAATGTAGCTATGACTGCATAACCAAACTGATTTAACTCCTCAATGGCAAAGAATTGAGCAATAAGAGTGCAAGGGCATGATCTACACAAAAAAATAAAATAAATAACACTTTCAAGCTGAAGTTATTTTGGTGTTTATCATGTTCTTGCAACGTCTGTATTTATCTGTACCTCAATGATAATACACCCAATAGCATAATGATACACACAGCACCACTCCATATTCCTACATAGAGCAAAAAAACTACAGCAGCCAGAGCATCAGGGAGAGAACGGAAATTCATGCTGAATCTTGCCACTGTCGTCTTCCATTTTCTATGCAGGATTTTGCTGTATAATTGAGCTCTCAACTATGTGTTTTTCATTTTTGTAGAAACCATAAAAAATATGTAGGTGAAAGATCCACTTTGAGTATCGTCCAGCTTTGCCTCAGATGGTCTGGGGTTGACGGGTTATTGCCAAAAGTTAAACAGGGACTTTAAACTTTTTGTTGCTGACTGTTCCTCTCTCATTCAGTCCAATAAATGCTAGACAGGTGTTCTTAGAACCCATGGCAGAGCTGAGGTATGCAAAAGCAACCATCACCACTGCACTTTTTGGTAACCAGTGTTACTACATTTCTTCAAGTGTGTGCACACATATAAGCCAGAATACATATACATACAAGGAATTATGGGAGGTTTTTAATGCCTTGTTCTTTACCAATATTCACTGCTGACAGCTTTATTAAAGACTGCAGTAAATGCTCAATGTATACCTGTCTTTTCAGAGAGGTATACAACAATATAAAAAGTATTGTAAATTTGGATCACCAAACAAAACATTCTTTGGGTAAACATGCTTAAGGTATTTATACTTTGAACAAATTTTTTTTTTTTTAAACTATATTAGTTGCCAGTGTATTTTCTAGCAGCTCCTCACCTGACGTGGCTGTTCAATCACTCGCTGGGGATCCAGTTTCACCTTGTTACAGGGATGGTTGGTAATTTTGGTAACTGGTTGCTTGAAGATCGAAGCGGTTTGTCGGATTGGCAATGTTGTATTCAAGTCTGGTTTATTCTACGAAAGAATTAAAAAAAATATATTAAAAAATCATCTATTGTTAGGTGAGTACTTTATTTTAAGCCCATAGACTCGTCGATTTAGCTCATGAATGTCAAACATCAACCCATAGATATTGTTAGGTTAAGTATTCCAAATTTCTATTAGCCATTGCCTGGCAGAGTATTATGGGCAAACAGCAAGAGAAGTCAGGAAAGCAGAGGGTGAGGTTTCCAACTCCACATTTCTGATTTAAGCCTTAGATGTTTTGCTAATACGATGTGCAAATACATTTTCCATTTCTGGTTATAAAGCACAAAAACAACTGCCAACACTCACCTCCACAAACAAAAATAAAAAAAAGAAACCTGCCATTGTCAATGGATGTCGGATACTTCTTTTCAAAAGTAGCACTATTTCCAGGCTGGATTTATTAGTACATGGTGCGCTAATGTGTATAAACCGTGTTGAGAGGCCATACAGTGTGAACATTGGCACAATCAGCTGCCAAGAGCAAATTCAGTTCAATGCAATTTATGCCATACATTCCTACTCATTAAAGGAGTTAGCCCAGCCAGTCATGGACTTCCTTTTACTTGAATAGGAGAATCAGTATGCATACATTTTATAAATAAGCCATGTTTACTAATCGGAAGAAACAGAGGCAAAGGGGTGTTGGAAGAGACCAACTCCCCAAACTCTGAAAGAAAGGTTACAAGGGGTATAGGGGGCTTAACCCCGAGAGTAAATATAGGAAAAAAGGGGGAAGAGAATGAACTAGAGGGCCACCATACATACAAGTATGCAGGAGGGAGACTGTTCATTCAATAAACTGTACCCCTAAAGTAAGTGTACCTATATAAGGAGGGGAGCAAACGGGGGGGGGGGAAAACATGGCTATTTGTACCTTTAATAAAACAGAAAATACACAAATCGTAATAAAATCTAACTGGCTCTAAAAATGGCCAGGAGGGGAATCCCCCTTACAGAGAGTATAAATTAGTGAGATATAAACTCACAAATACTAGCTAGAACGAACACAGCTGCAAAGTACTGGAGACCAGAAATGGTCCCTGGAAAAATACAGATATAATGTCCGTTTTAGTCAAACAATCCTTCCAGAGGTCTAGGATAGGGGCAGCGGGGTAATATAGGTAGCGGTGTAAAGAGAGCCTTGGTAGTGATAGTGCCCCTGGAGGGAGCAGAGTAGTTGCTAGTACAGGCTAACACATAGGTGTATAAATGGACCGTTAATCCAGGTGGTTAGTTCGGAAGATATCAATGCACATACATATGCCAGGAGATAAAAAAAGCATTCATGTAGATGTAACTTCTTGCCAAAACCCACCAGACACTGTCCTGTCCACAGCCTAGATAGCCCTGAACTTACTGAACTGTCTCCCATAGACACAGGGTAACCAAGTACACTACCTGCTGCTTCGAGGAAGCCTCAAGGATATCCCTCTTACTAAGTGCCCAAACGAACCCTAACACGGATTGAGCAGCAAATTGAAAAACGAAAACAAAGAAACAAAATCAAAAAGAATGCATCGGCATTCTGTAATGCTCGACGCGCATTTCGGCGTATAAGAACGCCTTTGTCAAGAGCTAAAGAGTGTCTGCCTACCTGGCCGTGTTAAGAAGGGGAAGACCGGCCCGCCTCTGAAGTCCCAGCCGCCAATCACCGTCCTACAACTCACCCTCCCTTATTTTGATTGGACACTGAACTGATGTGTCCAGGGAGGGAGAGTTGTAGGACAGTGATTGGCGGCTGGGACTTCAGAGGCGGGCCGGTCTTCCCCTTCTTAACACGGCCAGGTAGGCAGACACTCTTTAGCTCTTGACAAAGGCGTTCTTATACGCCGAAATGCGCGTCGAGCATTACAGAATGCTGATGCATTCTTTTTGATTTTGTTTCTTTGTTTTCGTTTTTCAATTTGCTGCTCAATCCGTGTTAGGGTTCGTTTGGGCACTTAGTAAGAGGGATATCCTTGAGGCTTCCTCGAAGCAGCAGGTAGTGTACTTGGTTACCCTGTGTCTATGGGAGACAGTTCAGTAAGTTCAGGGCTATCTAGGCTGTGGACAGGACAGTGTCTGGTGGGTTTTGGCAAGAAGTTACATCTACATGAATGCTTTTTTTATCTCCTGGCATATGTATGTGCATTGATATCTTCCGAACTAACCACCTGGATTAACGGTCCATTTATACACCTATGTGTTAGCCTGTACTAGCAACTACTCTGCTCCCTCCAGGGGCACTATCACTACCAAGGCTCCCTTTACACCGCTACCTATATTACCCCGCTGCCCCTATCCTAGACCTCTGGCAGGATTGTTTGACTAAAACGGACATTATATCTGTATTTTTCCAGGGACCATTTCTGGTTTCCAGTACTTTGCAGCTGTGTTCGTTCTAGCTAGTATTTGTGAGTTTATATCTCACAAATGTATACTCTCTGTAAGGGGGATTCCCCTCCTGGCCATTTTTAGAGCCAGTTAGATTTTATTACTATTTGTGTATTTTCTGTTTTATTAAAGGTACAAATACCCATGTTTCCCTCCCCTCCTTATATAAGTACACTTACTTTAGGGGTACAGTTTATTGAATGAACAGTCTCCCTCCTGCATACTTGTATGTATGGTGGCCCTCTAGTTCATTCTCCTCCCCCTTTTTTCCCATGTTTACTAATCTCTTATATGAGATTCTCCAACTGACCATTAATCAATTCACAAAGTATGTGGAAAAAGTGGAAAATTATGAAAAATGTTTTGTTTTTTTTTGTTTAGAATTAGGTTACTGAGACCACATATGCACAAGGCAGCTCTATATTCCATTAAAATAAAACATACATACAGGCATACCCCACTTTACATACACTCACTTTACATACACTCGTGAGTACAAAGTGTGCAACTAAGCTGCTAACAAATACAAATTGGCAGTGTATTGGCAGAAAATGCCCCAGTGGGAAGGTTTATTTTACTTTTCTTCCCAGTTTAAGGTTGTCAGACGGGTAAAACATTAAAGATAAATGGTACAATCTGGAATGAGATTTTTCAATTTACGGTTTGTTTTAACTGAATAAAAGCCCACTGGAAAGCACTAAATAAATCACTGGAAATAAAATCACTGGAAATCTGCAGTTGCAGTATCAGTTATGACTATTGCAATGCAGTCCATGCACTGGGAAGTGAAAAGGGTATTGCTTCACTTTAAGTACATTTTCGTTTTACATACATGCTCTGTTCCCATTGTGTACTTAAAAGTGGGGTATGCCTGTATATATTTTTGTACAGATCAGAACTATTGCAGTAATAAATGAAATGCTAGACATTAGATAGAGATGGGGTAGGCTGATGGTATTTAAACCTTAGGAGATATTTAACCTATAATAAAGGCACATGAAATGTATAGATACCTTGAGTGCCCTGTAAAAAGAAATGGTCGCCCCTGGAACATTTACTGTGATTTTTTTTAATGATGATTAATTGAAGGTTGGCATACAATAAAAATCTCCTGATATGCCTAGGTGAAGGAGATGCTCAAATTAATCCATTAAGGATGTTGTAAGATGATGGTGCTGATCACAGGTGCATGTTTTATGTGGCATTAAGATGATTTTGGGAGGCAGGGGGGGTTTGCACTCTAAAAGCTTAGTTTTCCAGGCTTTCGGTAAATCTGCTGTTTGCATTGGGTATATTTTACACATTATTGCTATTATGGCCAGCATGCTTTTCCTCATTTATACTATTCCTTCCACTATTTCCCCCCGCTACTGCCGCTCATCCTTCACATCATACTCATTTTTCCAATGTTCCACTGTACACCCTTATCACCACCCAGCCTTCCTCCCTCTCCTCACCGGTCCCTTTGACCAGCACTGCCACCCTTCACATCATATCCTTAAGTCGACTCGCCAGCCTCCCTCCCCTCACAGGGCTTTTATATGCCCAACGCTGCTCACTCTGTACATCACACCCCTTCAGCCTACTTGCCATCCTCCATTTCCTCTGCCTTCAGAACGCCCACCCTTCACATAACCCTTCACTTGCCAACCTTTTCTCTTAACAAAACCTTATGCCAACCTCTGCCCTGCAATCCTTTACACCACAAACCATCAGCCCAGAATCTAAATTTACATTTTATATTGGATTGCAAGCTTCCGGTCTTCGGTTTTCTGATAAATTTCTTGATTTGTTTTTTTTGTTAGAATTCAATTTTGTCTTGTTTACCTTTTGTACAGCACTTCAGAATATGTTTGAGCTATATAAATAATTGTAATTGTAGTGCTGCTGTACCTATGCAAAAATAGTCAACCCATGACTATCAAAAAAAAAATACACCTTTTCCCCAACTGTACATCAACATCACTTTAAAGATCAAAATATAATTTATAATATACATTTCCAGAGATGCAAATTAGCACACAGACAGGCATCGTAATTCAGACTTCATATTGTATTTCTTCAGATACCCTTAGCAATAGACAGCTTTTCTTAAAACAAAGATGGAACTATATCTATATACACAGATACATAAAGAAATAAAATTTATATTAATAAATAAAATGTATTATGGTCCACATTAATAAAAAAATAAAAAAAGTGGGGTGTATGTGTATGAGATAAGAAGAGAAAGAAAAAGGACAGGAAAAAAAAAAAAAAAATCACCAGATCCCTGTACCACTTACCCGATCACCAAAACTATTTCCATTAACAATCATTACAGCGATCTTTACAGCAAGAATCATTACAGCGATCAGGATCGCAGTATGGCTAGCATTGATCAAAAGGAGCGGAGAACTAAAAAATATGCATTTGTATCCAAATTTAGGAACCATATTATGAAGGATTTGTACCTACAGTTTTACAATAATTTGACAATCACCTAATAGCTGAAAAGGGCAAATGTCAGTTTTTTTTAAAGGGGCAGTTAAGGTACCATAACAACTTCTCTAACGGTTTAACCCCAAAGTGAGCCTCCGGCACTGATCTCAACTCTCCCAAGGCAGCACCTGGCTTCTGAAATATCAGTTTAAGAAAGCTTGGAGTGTCATCGGGCAGCGGCGGCACTGATTGGCTAAGAACTGTCAGCTTACACAGATCACGGACAGTTGTTATGGTGCCTGGAGTGTGCCTTTAAGACAGGAACTCATTCATTGACTGAAAGTGCTCAGAAGACGCTCTCAACTAATGAATGAATGTCTAAATCGTCATATATTTGTGTTTTTTTTTTTTTACTATTTTAAAGCATCTGAAGTAAATAAAAAAATAACCACCAAACAAAAAAAAACAACAATTGAACACTGAACAATGAAGGTCTCACGTCCTGCCAGCAATTTACTGTTATTCAGTTATGAGAGTTGCAAACAGCCATTTGCTTTAAAGTGGAAATATTAAAGTTTGTCCTTCAGGTGCCATGTATTTTAGATTATATTTCTTAAGCGAGTACTTTCCTCTTTCCATTCAGGGTATTTTACCAGCTATACTAGATTATGAAACCATGACTTAAGGCTTGATTTGACCCACATTTTTTAAGTTTTTAACATTCAATGAAAGAAAATACAGATAAAAATAAAATTTTTTTTTAAAAATTAAAATAAAAAAAAACATACCAGGGATCCCCTCCATATTAAAAAAATTACGCCATTTGCAAATGGCATAGCATTATCTGCCAATTCTTTTGTTTGCTCACTCTCCCACTCAATAGAAGAACTGAGAATACGCCATTAACCTCTGTTTATGGATGCTATCCAGGATATTTACTTCTGTAGTCCCAAGTAGCTTACTTCCTAAAAACACAGCACAAATTAGAATGTAGAATAGTGCCGGCCAATGCATGCCAAACAGAGTTCAGGAGATGATACAATGGAATCCTATGATCTAAATGCACAACTTTTTGTTATTTTATATTGCGGGGTGGGTCTCAAAATTATTAAAGAAATTAAAATAAAAGAGTAAACTAAAAAAAAGCTGTATACCAAATATGACAGTACGAAAATTAAATCTGCCAAAATAAGTTGATACCCAATGGAGGATGTTACTCAACATAAGCTGATCATTTCCTAGGTAGATAGAAAAGTAACACCAGTTGACAAAAAACAAAAAAAAAACATAAATATTGATTTTTTTCATAGGGTAAGAAGAGAAAAATTGGTTATATGAACCCAGAGAAGCAAATAAAATGTAAATATATGAATAGGATAAAGAAAAGAGGAGAGAAATGAATAAATAGGGAAAGGGAGGTATAGCTTAGCAGTGAGCTCTTTCATAGAGCTAATATGGAAAACCTTAAGGAGTGAGTTCCTGAGAGTTCCAGTTTCTTGTAACGCAATTGTATGCAGCTCTGCAGATCCAGTGTATACATATTAATGCACAGCTGGGGAATTTGCAAAAGGTGGGCTTGCCAAAGAGTAGTGTTACCTTGGGGTTGGGTTCAAGAACAATACCAAAAATATTTTCTAGCATTTGAAACTCAGCAAGCCAAAAAAAAGGCCACATTAATTCACATTCCCATTAAGCTTGGTACAACCCCTAAAACAAAGAGGAATGGGGTGGGCAGTAAAGGCAGTTGCCTAAATAGCTGTACATACAATAAGTTTAGTCTCAGCAGAGAACATACTAACCCATTTTTCATCAGAGACTGTCATTCCTAAGTCTACTTCCTTTTTGAAGTTGAAACTATGGTTTTGTTCTATTGAGCATCTCAAGAAAGGAGAAGTGCATGGCCAAGATTGCACCATCCTCATTTTAACGCTGTTTATAGAAGCACTTAAATCATGTTAATCATGTTAATCTCAATGACAAAGTAAGGCCAAACACGATAAGAATGGGACATGTCTACGAGTTGCAATCCATGTCGATCTCTAAAATGTAGGGTAGGAATGACACCTCTAGAGACAAAATCAGGTCAAATCCATGTCTCAGCCACCACCCAAACTTGAGTCCATATCCAAACTAACACAGAATTTTGGATTACCCACAATTGGGATCATAGCCGAATGGGTAAAAGAGATTCCATCTCTCACACGACTAGTCATCAAGAGATTGTAGGTGTTTTAATTGATGAGGTTGTAAAGACAAACCATGGGAGAGTGCGGAGGAGAATCAGTGCACATTCTGAGCCTACAATACCCACCCAATCAGAAGTTCCAAGGCTAGAGTTCCACCTTAACATTTGCAAAAGCTGGGCCACGTGGTAGGAGAAGACTAGTACAGGAACGAATTGTCCTCCACGTATTTGTGATCTTGCCATCACAGTATTGGCCAAGAGAGTGCGTTTATAAACCCAAGTAAATAATAATATACAATACTGAAGGTCACAGATATTGCTAGAAATGGTAAAGTGGTAAAGGAAGGCAAAGAAAGATCTAAAATCTTTGGCAAGACCTCAATCTACACCACATAAATAAGTCCAAGAAGAAACATGTTTCCAGCTGTTCATAAACTTTTTTAGGAACATATACACTGGTGGGTAATTACACAAGTAATAATAAGGAAGATTAGATCGGACATCTAAAGAGCAAGACCAAAACTAATCCTATTACCCCGATAGGAGTTGCTAATCAAATAATAGGCTTAGTGCCTTGTATAAAAACAAAAAATTTTTATTGAATCCCTATATGGATAAACACGAGACAAACATAAAAAAGGTGTTAAAATAATGTGCAAAAAGAAAACAAAAAGTAGTTAAAATAGGACCAACCCCTGGAGCCTTAAAAAAAAAAAAAAAAAAACACTTTCCTTTATAGGGTGGACACAATTGCTAGTTGACCTGATACAGTGTTGCAAGAAGTTGCAGTGAATAAAGGTACCTAGCTAGATCTAGAGAAAGAGGTAATGTGGATACTATTAAGGGGAATGTAAAGAGAATATAGAAAATGAAATAAAACAGTAGTAACCAGATAGGTTCAGATCTAAAGATATAAAAATCTCTCGTTAATATAATGGCTCCAAACGAACCCTTGATGGTAGTAGAGTGGATGAAATCTCTGTTAATGTTGTATGCAGGGGATACATGGGGGGAGAACCAAGGCAGCAGAACCCAAATTGGTTGGAACAACAATCGAGGTGCTAGCGATAGAGGAAAACAAAGTTCCCTATTTCCAAATCCCGGCTAGTCAGAGTGCATTGAATGCGATAGGATTATTGCAGATCCGCCCAGTGGCATATGATGATTCAAAGTGCTGTGTAGTCTGTGACACTTAGGCAAACACACAATACTAAACCATAAAGGTTATATATTAGATTAATCTATCTAGCTCTAAAAAGTATGCAATGTATAAACCATCGCTGATAATAATATAGAGCAGTCATAAGTAGATCGATATGAAGAATCAAACTGCTATTGAATCTCTTCAAATTAATTACTGAACTAGCAGGAGATAATCCCTAGAGAGACTATTATAGAGATAGATTGGCTCAAGCGAATCTCGTTAGTTTATGATGGAAGATATAGTTAAAGGAAAGTCTAATCTGTCTGATAGTCGCTGCTTCAAGGCAGCCCCTGATCTACCTAAAACTATTGGAGCAAGCTATCTCTCTGAGGACTTCTTAATAATCAAGATTCTCCTATGGTCCTACTAATTATGTCAAACAGTAACGGCATCCAGAGGTGGTCCTAGAGTAAAAACTACAAGTGTGGTATCTAACCTGATTGCACAAGTACAAGTTCTTCCTATGTGCCATTTAGTTTCACCCCAGTGTGGTCCATTCCACTGCCACAGCTGTTAAAGCCAAAAGACTCTTAAAGAGCAACAAACTTATTGTTTAGGATTTCAATGTACAATGTAGAAACATAGAGGGGTTATGCAATAAGATTTGAGGATTAGTCACAGTTAAAGGGACATCATCTGCAAGCAGGCTAATTTTACAGTCTTAATCTGGTGATGTCAGGTTTGTCGCTAACTATGCCAGCAGCTCAATTGCAAATAGTAGAGGAGACAAGAGAAAGGTTAGGATTAAAGTCGTAGAACTTTTTTTGCAAATAACTGTAGTTCTAATTAAATGAATGCAGAAACATTTGGCTCTTTCCATCCTAACCTATGCAAGGAGCCTATATTGTAAGTGGGGTGTCTCTTTATCGTTTGATGTTGCTAGTATTTGTGCTAATTTTGAGGAGGGACCATCATTCACTAGATAATTAAATAAAGTTTGAATTGTCAGGAATTCAAAGTGAATTTGTAACTTTAACCTAACATTTCAAGTAGACACTATCCAAACCAGATTTGTCTGCCGACATTTCATTTTCACATTGAGAAATCAGGACAAATCACACTTTAGTAATCAACCTGGTACCATTCCATAAAAAGCTGTCAAACCATTTACAGCAAGCATGTCAAACTCGCGGCCCACAATGGACATCTTTGCGGCCCGGCGAGCTGCGAGTGCCTGCTAAGTGTTATAGAGTAGGCTCCTGCTTTCCCCACATTGCAGGCACCTACTCTGCTAACTTACCTGGCCGGGGAGGAGGGTCAGCAAGGGAGCTCAGTGTTTCCACTCCTCATTGCTCCCTCGCGCGCGCCATCTGTAGTTAAGCCGGGCGCCGGAATATGACATCATATTCCGGCACCACTAAACCGCGCGAGGGAGCAGTGAAGAGCAGATAGAAGATCCCCACTGGACCCCAGGGAAAGGCCCCACATCAGCTCCAAAAGGCAGGGATCAATAAAGTAAATGATGTGTGTGCAAGAATGTGCAAATGTGTGTGTGTCGGTCAGTGTGCGTGTCTGTAAGTGAGTCTGTCTCTGTCAGTGTGTGTTGCATTGGCTGTGACTGGACAGTGGAGTACCTGGAGGCACGCAAAGTCACGTCACATTCCGACGTGACATCGACGTGCTCCACCTTCACAGTGTTTTAAGAAGTAGCGGGGGTATTAAATTTGGCACAGAGTGCGGAAGGCGCCATTTGGGGTATACCAGAGGCCGGACTCAGGAGTTGCATACTGGCAGCGTGAGTGGAGTCTGCTTGTTGGCTAGAGGGGGCTACTGGTATTTTGTATATGGGGGGGGGAGGGGAGTAGGAGGAAGGGATTTAGTAGAGGGGGGTGCTGTGGTTTAGTGCAGGGGGATGCATTTTTTTTTATACTGTACTTTACATAATAAACCTACATTTCTATGAAAATTTAAGGGTTTTTTTTTATGCGGCCCACATAAACTTAAACTTTGTTTATGTGGCCCGTGCTAAACTTTGACATGCTTGATTTACAGTATCAGCAAACAATCTAGATATTATTGATTGACTGTCACTTACCATGTCAGGAGATGAATGTTGTTCGAAGTTGCACAAAACTGGCATTGCTTTTAATGTACCAGTGCAGATCAGAAGTAGTGTTGGCACCAAACAGAGCCAGGTAAACTGACAAACCAATCATAACCAGTTTAACAACTTACCATGAGATGGTGCCAGGGAATTTCCATCACCATAACCATTGCAATGCTCTGTAGTGCTTATAGTATCCCTTTAATCTAGTCACTTATAGGTTTTCAAAGTTTGGAAGAATGAGTTAATAAAAAGGCAAGCTTATAAATAAGCTATCCTTTGAAACTACATATTTTGTTTAAAGAGGTTTTTTTCTTTTTAATACTCGTTTTAGAACTACTTTGGAACCCACAGATAGATGAATTATCTATTAGTTAATAGCAAAAAAAGCTATTCAAAGCCAAAGCTCAAAAGGTCTTTAAGAAAGTGTAGCTCTTCAAAACTTATCAATGCACTCTAATTGCAGTGGAGCTTCTAACAAACCTTATTTTGATTGAGTGTGTCATTTCTTAATCTCTGTTTGTTCTTCTGCAATTTACTTGGCATCATCTTTCCAGATCTGAAGTCAAAACTGCTGAGATCAACAGTGTTCCCCAGGTACCTTGCCAACTGAGGCTTGCTTCTGAACTTCTTACCGGTTGGACTAAAAGAAAAACAATATTTTAGTAATAAAAAAAAAAAATAAAAAAAAATTGAGGACCTTCTTAATATTTGGCCCAGAAATTCCTAGTATATATAGATAAATGCATACCTTTCACTTCAAATAACTTGGGTACATTTGTACCACTGTAAAGAAGGGAAAAATAGCTCATATCTGTATTATATGCATTAAATTAACAGTATCACATTACGCATAGCATTTTATATTTAAGAGAGCCGTGGATGTAAAAATAAATTAATAAAAACTTGACTAATTTTCACTCTGCTTCTGAAAGAAATACAACTTTTTTTAAGATATCTTACAAAATGTGCTGTACTGGATGAGTTTCCATTTGCTGTTGGTGGTATACGGTTATCCATCACCTTCCAACTATTGAACATTTCAATTTTTTTGTTATGTTTAATCAGAAAGACTCGGCCAACATGCCACTGCTAGATAAGCTGCTACCATCAGTAGCTCCCCACTGAAAAGACAGTGGAAAATAATTATGTATCTCAATAGGGTGCGGCGGATAGTCAATGATGCTCTAATCATTTCAGCTGTGTCTGGTCCAGGGCTTCATGACTGAAGCCTCAAACATGGAACGGAAAGTGAAGAGGCAGAGTGATCAGGCACCAGCTTGACAACTTTTGGGTTTAACAGTTCCAACAAGTACCTCCTGAAACCAGAATAACTTGATTGCAATGAAGTTCTCCTGGAGTCCTTTAATATTATCAACATAGTTTTTTTTCTTAAACTGTATACATAAAGCTATTGGTGCAGATTATTGGGCTCCAATGTAGTCCAAAAGTAAATTTTTCTGCAACAGAAAGTGGATGCCTCTAAAGAGCTGATCTGGGGCAATCATTGGCTGAGTTCTCAGCTGATGCTCTCATCCAATGAATGCAATCCAATGACGATACTCTGTCACTTCATCTCAATGAAGTGGTTAATGTGCATAGGTCCTGTCCTTTTAGACCAGCAAAGTAAAATATTGCAGTTTTTTTTTTTTGTTTTGTTAAGTCTACCTCTAATGGCTGTCATACTGAAAGCTGACCAAGTAAATGTGACACAGAAGCCATAGGAAAGCACTGAATACAATGCTTTCCTATGGGAAAGCTTGCATTCACGCTCATCTCTCACCTCAGATGTGCATAAGGTCCCCAGTGCTCCTCTAAGTGGAGTATTGTAGTGGACCAGTGCAAAGGAGACCAAGTCTCATCCATGACATTGCAAGAGGCAAAGAGGTGAGCAGAGCCGAGGGAGTTTTGGTGCTAGAAAATGACAAGTAAAATAATTTAGATTATTACTTTACATGAAAAATAGGGATCAGTTTTAAAGGAACACTCCAGGCATCATCTAAATATGCTTCATCTACTCCCCCCCAGGCGGCACCTGGTTTCTGAATTTTCAAAATTCAGGAAGCACGGAGTGTTGCCGGGCAAGGGCATCATTGATTGGCTGAGAGCATTCAGCTGACACTCTCAGACAAACAGTGACTCTCCATTCACAAAACTGGCTTGCAAAATGTACATTTCTTTTGAAGCCAGTTTAGTGACTAGGGAGTCACTGATTGGCTGAGAGCTTCAGCAGAACGCTCTCAGCCAATCAGCGGCGCCCATGTTTGGCCGCACTCCATGCTTTCTGAATCTGAAAGATAAAAATTTTTGGTGCCTGGAGTGTCCCTTTAACTAGGCATAGGGGCATTATAGTGTTAGGAATACAGGTTTGTATTCCTAATGCTCTGGTGTTCCTTTAAGTATCATTGTAAAGGACATATAATATTCCAGAAAGACCTAATGAACATCAGTTCTAAAGGAGCCTAGAATTCCAGGTCAGCAGTACTTTAATGTTGTGAGCAGTCAGCATAGTCCAGTATTGTTTGCTTACAGAGAAAAGCTTTTAATTGTACTACATCAGCTAAATCATAGGTTTCCTCTACTCAGCCAAATGTATCTAAACGTTAGCTCCAAAATTCTAAAAGACAGGTAGACATTCCTCATAAGTTTTTATTGATAGCCTGTATTTTTTAAATATTTAACAGTACATCATGGAATGGATCTCACTTTTAAAAGGACCACTATAGTGCCAGGAAAACATACTCGTTTTCCTGGCACTATAGTGCCCTGAGGGTGCCCCCACCCTTAGGGTCCCCCTCCCGCCCGGCTTTGGAAGGGGGAAAGGGGGAAAAAAAACAAAAAAACTTACCTTTTTCCAGCGCTGGGCGGGGAGCTCTCTGCCTCCTCTCCTCCTCCGATCCGCCCCGTCCCGTCGGCTGAATGGGCACGCGTGGCAAGAGCTGTGCGCGCATTCAGCCGGTCGCATAGGAAAGCATTCATAATGCTTTCCTATGGACGCTTGCATGCTCTCACTGATTTTCACAGTGAGAATCACGCAAGCGCCTCTAGCGGCTGTCAGTGAGACAGCCACTAGAGGATTTGGAGGAAGGCTTAACCCTTTCTCTGAAACTGCTATGTTTATTTAAAAATGGGTTAACCCTAGAAGGACCTGGCACCCAGACCACTTCATTAAGCTGAAGTGGTCTGGGTGCCTAGAGTGGTCCTTTAAATAACACTATGGAAGCAAATTTATATTAAACAAATAGCCCAGTGGAACTTAAAGGGACACTATAGTCACCAGAACAACTACAGCTTAATGTAGTTGTTTTGGCGAGTATAATAGTTCCCTTCAGGCATTTTCATGTAACCACTGCCTTTTCAGAGAAAATACAGTGTTTACATTGCCCCTAGGGACACCTCCACTCCTTAGATGGCCACTGGGGGTGCTTCCTGGCTCAGGGCTGCACAGTAAGCAGGCCTGCTGTTCAGTGTCCCCACGTTCTGCATGGAGATGCTGAATTTTCCTCATAGATGCGCATTGATTCAATGCATCTCTATGAGGAGGTCCTGATTGTCCAAAATGGTATTTGGCACTTACCCCGTGCAGATTTTAGCCAATCCAATGCTTTCCAAAAAAACCATTTTGATGTCACAAGGGGGCGGAGCTAGCGCCGGTAGACATGCGCGGCATTGGAAATAAGGTGAATTTTAAAACTTTTATAGGGGTGTAAGCCACCTAAATGGTGGGTTAAACACTATAGGGTCAGGAATACAGGTTTGTTTCCCTGACCCTATAGTGATCCTTTAACTCAAACTTTGTCAGAGAACCAAGTGATGTGCTTGGCAGTAGCTTGGCAACAAACTATTCAATTACATAGCGTAGAAGAACATAGAATGTTCATTAAAGTGGGATGTGCTTAGAATTCAAAGTTAATTCAAAAATTTAGGCCAAAGTAGCCAAGTTAGAAAAATATAGATATGAATGTGTGTATGTGAAAGTGTATACATGGGTGTATGTTGTAAAAGGCTTTAACCCTTTAAGGACACATGACATGTCTGACATGTCATGATTCCCTTTTATTCCAGAAGTTTGGTCCTTAAGGAGTTAAAATAGATATGTCTGTATGGGGTGTAATTTTTTTTTCACGCTCTAATGCCCTGATTTAACAAATTGAAAAATAATCTAAATAGAGAAGAAATGTTATCTTAGCTCCATCATCACTTCAAAAAGCTGAAGTTGCTTTGGTGCCTAAAACGTCCATAAAAAAAAAAAAAAAAAAATTAAAAAGCCACGTGCCTGATGAACAACAAATGAGGACATAGGCAGAGGTGGCAAAAGGCCAACTTCTGGGTACTGTTCCACTGGTTAAGAGCTTCTGGATAATGACTTGTAGTTAATAGGTGACAGTTGGCCTACAAATTCCACAATACTAAGAAAAATAATACTAAAATAAATGTGTTAACTATGGCTCTCTGAGCAGCATCAAGGGAATATCACTGTAAGCAATAAGCTAGAAGGCAATACTTTTTTTTTTTTTCCATTCAGCTGCTCTAAACTTGCAGTCATACATTTCTCCAAATATTACTTGCGCCATTATTAATATTAAACCCGCTTTCTTCCCCACAATTTCACTATGACATAATACAACGGTTGGGACCAGTAGGTGACGTTGATAGAATGTGTATAAATCACAGCCAATTAGTATAACAATAATAATAAAACAACAAGAAAGCACAGTTAACTCCCCTCTGAAATGCCTCACTCACATCTGCAGTTTCTCCAAGAACCAGAGAGAAGGGCTGAGAAATCTGTATCTTCCATTGGCAAATGGCAGAAAATCAGAATACCACCTCAGAATGATATGGAGTTAAATACTCCGTAATATTTTAAATCCTAAAAAGAATGGAAGCATCCATCAAACTGTAAATAGTGATGGTGCTCGGTGTGTCCGTTTAAAGTTAAATTATGTGACACAGTTCTTCACTGGAGTTCTGCTTTGCTCGATTATCAATACTGACGGTTTCCTAGCCAACAGGCTGCTACTCACATAGAAGCATTGGGAGGCAAGGTGCATGCACAGCAACATAGTGCGGCACCTGTTATAAATCTCATAGCAAGTCAATTAATCCAATGATTCTCTTTGAGATGCATTGCATTCCACTTCGTGCTGTGGCACAAATCAATCAGGAAGAACACCATCCAGACTGTCAGCTGGGAGAGCAAACTTTCTAAAAAGCTCAGATGTTTAATGAAAGTGGTATGTTTCATTTTAGGGGGTGAGGGTGAGATGTAGCTGAGCGTGTGGCAAAGGGTGGGACTGTTTTGAGACATTTCGGGTGACTTGCTGATAATTATTTATTTTCTTTGAGGTGTATTATCTATGATAGAAGTAAATAAAGTAAACCATGACACAGTGTACCATATAGAAGCATAAAGAACATTAATGTAGTAGTATTGTACACATAGTACAATACTTCAGTGAGCAAGCCTGATCGTCTGCAAAGCCTGATTCCCCAACTTTGCAAGCCCATTCCTTCAGTGAGCAAGCCTGATTCCCCAACTTTGCAAGCCCATTCCTTCAGTGAGCAAGCCTGATCGTCTGCAAAGGTAGCCTTCTGGAAGATCACACTAAGACTCTATCCTGCACACCTTCATTTATTTTTAACTTAACCACCCTGTACATTTATTTTAATTTTTATTTAATATATCCTGTGTACATTGTATATTTTCTTGTTTTCTTGTATTTATATCTTGTCTGTTATGCTAAAGTGTAGTTTTGCTAGCCCTGTATGTAATTATTTTATTCAACTATATGCATTCCTCTATTTCCCCTCTGATTTGTGACTGACCTCTGACCCCTCCCTTCTCTTATTGATATGTTTGTTTTTATTTGAATATCCATCTCTTCATCTCTGTACCTAGATACATTTCCCCCTCCCTTACCTTTATTGCAAGCTCTCTGACCCTCACATCTCTTTATTCAACAGCCTGATTCCCCAACTTTGCAAGGCCATTCTTTCAGTGAGCAAGCCTGATGCCCACCCTCCCAATTTAGAGATTGTCTGTCACACCTACATTTTAGTTAGGTTAAAAAAAAAAAAAATAAATAAAAAAAAAAAACTTGCCTCTTATTAGTACACTCCTGCACGTTCCCATAAAACACCTTCACCTGCTCTTGATATGCCAATTATCTCCAATTTTTATTTTTCACAGTTTAGCAATGATCTGTTTTCTCCTCCTCTTTATTTCCTCAGTCTCCCTCAGTATAAAAATCTCTCCTTACACCCACTTCACTCATTTCCCCATCCACATTTACATATGCCCTTCTCTGCTACACTCTCCCGCGAACCCAAACGACTATTTCACACATTTAACTCTCTTCTTCGCCCTGCTGTTCCTCCTCTACCTACTAACTTGACCGCCTCAGACTTTGCAACTCACTTCACTGCCAAGATCTCTACAATCAGAGAAGAGATCTCTCATCTTTCTTCTTCCCCTTACAATACTTCCCCTAACTTCACTCCCTCTGCTGTTCTATGTTCGTTCGAACCCGCTACATTGGAAGAGGTTTCTGCTCTGCTCCAGTCCTCCCGCCCCACCACCTGCTCTCTAGATCCAATTCCCTTGCATCTCATCCGTACTCTGTCTTCTTCTCTTTCTCCACCTCTCACTAAAATTCTCAATCTCTCTCTCTCCTCTGGTATATTTCCATTGCCCTTCAAACATGCAACTGTAACTCCAATTCTAAAGAAGCCCAATCTTGACCCTAATCATCTTCCTGTCCGCCCGCACCTCCCATACCTCACCCTTCTGTCAGTCCCTACATTGGCTTCTTATAAAATATAGAGCTCAATTTAAAATTCTGGTTCTTGCTTTCAAATCTCTTCATAATGCTGCTCCCACCTATCTATCCTCCCTTATACTAAAGTATGTCCCGTCTAGGCCCTTACGATCTGCTGAAGACTTACGTCTATATTCAGTCCGTACTCCCACTTATGATGCTCACCTTCAAGATTTCTCGAGAGCTGCACCGTTCCTGTGGAACTCGCTACCCTCCTCCGTTAAATGCTCACCCAGTCTCCACTCCTTCAAAAAAATCGTTAAAAACCCACTTCTTCATAAAAGTGTAGCAATTAAACTGTTAATAGCTCCTGATACCTCTTCTGCAACTGTCACTAGTCTAATACTATCCTTACCTTTTTGTGTCATTTTACCCCCACTCCCTCTAACATGTAAGCTCATTGAGCAGGGCCCTCAACCCCTCTGTTCCTGTGTGTCCAACTTGTCTCCTTACAACTACATGTCTGTTCGTCCATCCATTGTAAAGCGCTGTGGAATTTGATGGTGCTCTATAAATATCATAATAATAATAATAGAACAATCTCCATCAAAAAATAGCAGAACACACAAAATCTAAGCATATGTTTGTCATGTGTCAGAAGTAGTATACAATTCCCCAATGAAGTTCTAAAACATGAAGAAGTGAGAAGAGGAGGTAGAGGAAAAAAGTAAAGTTGGAGGATAGAAAGTTAATACTCGGAAAATAAGAGATATATATATATATATATATATATATATATATATATACACACACACATACATACATACACACACACACATATACACACACAGGAAGGCCATTTGGTCTGAATTTGTGGGAGGAGTTATGACCCTATTTAAACTCCTTCCCCCCTACTTACCTTTGCCGTGCAACTGGTTTGTCCCCACCCACCTATATTTACAATTCACCTTTGTGGGTCCTCTTTTTATTACAGGCCTACTCGTACGTTGGTTTCGGCACACCTCAACCAACTTTGCTTCGCCTTTTACATTCCACTACGTATTAGAAATTCCGAGCACAAATAAATTATATATATATATATATATATATATATATATATATATATATATATATATATATATATATATATATATATATATATATATATATATATATTTTCTCCTAGTAATTCTAAGTCTGTAGAGGACTGCATGGAGGCTTGGAGTCTGTAGAGGACTTCCATGCCTGGGCTTTGCAGGTGACTATGACCTATTTATCCAGGGACCAATAGAAATGTTTGGGGACAAGAGTCGCAATGCCCTGAATAAAGGTCGTCGCAGTATCCTCGCAATTTAATCACATATGCCTCCAAAAAGGCAATTGTACTAGTTCTAACCAAAAACTAAAATTTGAGCGATAGGTCTGTTAAATAATTTAGATTTAGTGTACCCAAGAATATATAACAATTCCATGTGGTGCATCTTAGAAGCTGTGTGGGGGATGGTCCAGAGAAAGGGGGGGGTTTGGCAGACATTGTGTGTGCTGTGCCTCTCGGACTGTGCAGGGAGCAGGGAAAATGTGTTAGCTGAGGATACTGTAATTAAGTCAACAGACAGAGTGGCGCCAGGGAGGAACAACTATGCCACCTGCAAGGAGAGTCAACATTGTTGTCTATAAAAAGCTGTGCAATAAAATCTATCTCCTACATTAAGACATTGTGTGGGGGGAAGCTATAGTGTGTTTTACAGGAAGAATATCTGAGCTATAATCACTGCGGCCTGGTTCATGGAAAAGACCTCAGGTTTATGACCTCAGAGACCCAAATCAAGCTACGATGACTGGGTCTGAAGAGCTTCCCTGTTAGTAGTGAGGAAGCTGACCTGGCGGAGGTACTCAGTCAGAGTACGGGAGCTCCATCGCACTGTCCAACCTAAATAGGGACAAATTGGGAGGTATGTTTCAGCAAGCTGTTTAAAAACGTGGTTTAACGGTTTTAAAACTTTTCACAAAAAATAAATAAATAAGATATTTGAAGGGAAAAAATAAATGAATATCAGAAGGCCTGGGTTTTAACCCAGGAGATCATGTAAATTCCCCAGCAGGAGGGTTGCACGGCTCTTCTCTTATAGACTAAACCTAAACTGACAATAATAAACATATAGGGGGCAAGTCCTGCTTTTCAGAATACTTTCCATGTCTCCAATTTCATTTTAAGAAACTACTTTCCATTAAAACAAACTAGAAGAACAAGGAAAAAAAAAAAAGAAAATATGCTATGGCTTGGTTGGTGTAAGATTATGCCAGCTGTCTAATCCCTTATTCTGACACATTTATTTAGGATGAAGAACTCCGCTAAGGATTATTCTGCTGACTCAAAATCTTTAAAACCAAAATGAATCATAAGCATTCCTCTTTTAAGAGATGAGCTTTCCACTGACACCTAAAGCTCTTAATTACACAATCATGTTTTGATCACACAATATGTTGACCAGTTTTACTGCAAATTGCATAGAGGAAGTTTATTCACATTGGTTAAAACTAAATTGAGGGGATATTGGATTTTGCAGAGATTGCAGCTGGATGGAGGCCATGGCTATATTTTTATACTACAGAAACCACACACACACACACACACACAAAATGGTTTATGACCATTATATAAAAATATAACATGTCTGCAGCAGTGGTGGTTCAGCAGTTTACCCACTTCAAGACTGAAAATTATTACACGGTCACATGTCATATATGCTGGTTTTCACACAGCAATATTAATTGTAGTAAGTTTTGTATTTCTTTTTCTGACTACCCAGACATTTAGTAAAAAACAGAGAAGAATGGTCTATTTGGTTTAAACTGACGCTCTACTGTCCAAATAAAAAAAAACATTAACTAGTAGCTATACCCCCAAATCAAAGCATGCATGCATTTATTTATTTATGGTGGGTATGTCTAAAAACTGTAGATTTATTGTCCGCAACATTTGCAAGCCACCCCTTCTAACCACATGCTTCCCAACCAATAAGATTTTGGCAGGACAGTCCTGAATTTTGCATCTTGTTCTTCTATTGATAGAGTAAACCTAAACTGGCAATTATCAACATATAAGGGGCAACAACTGCTTTTCAGAATATATGCCCATGTCTCTCTATTCCATTTTGAGAAAGAAACTACTTTCCATTAAAACAAACTAGAAGAAAAAATAGATTCAGATCTGAGCCAATAAGTAATGGCTTGGTTTGGTTAAGATTATGCCAGTTGTCTAACACCTTATCCTGACACATTTATTTACTTAGGATGAAGAACATCCTGTATTGTCTTGTGTATATCGTTTTCAGTTATCACGATTTTTTTCCTTGGTGTCTCACTCCATGGACAAGTTCTGCCCTCCTTGGGCTGGCCTGCTTAATTTGTGCATTCACGCCAGGCTGACCTGACAGTAATTTGGGCAGACCTTCCCACTTTCTGTGAGGATCTGCCACCTTTGGGCACAGCCAGCAACATGAACATAACACTGACCCATCTAACTCCTCTCACCGACACCATGCTTCTCTGGATGCCAACGCTGGAGTGTATATAACCAAGCAATTCCCAATACAGCTCAATGAGAAGTCTTTGCAAGGCAGATGCGCTGAGCAATTGCTGCCTCTTGAATTTAGCTTCACATAACTAAACAGCCAGGAAGTAAGAGGACCTGTTGTCTGAATAGTAGCCAGAGGAGTGTAAAAAGGTTAATTTAAAAGTGCCAATTTCACATTGAATTCTTCACTTTTTGTAAAATGAAAAAAAAGAAAACAATCTACACACATAAAGCAAGCTAAAGTGCTTTAGGGGTCTGGAATGTCCCTTTAGTATGTAGAACAAGACTGCTGAAACTAAAGAGAAGAAATGTTCCTTGCCATCATTTGTATCTTTAATTGGTTCTGAAGGTTTGTATCCAGAGTCCATGAGACAGATCACACTGCTCATGTAAAATGAAAATGTTGATTGATGGTAGAAGAACATCCTTTTTTTCTTTCCACACTCATGTGCTACTTGCCAATTTCTGACATCTATCAGGATAAACATATATGCAATATTGTAACAAGATACAAACAAGTCTAAAAGAATGCATTGAGAGGAAACTTGCCATGGTATAAAGTGTGATATCAGGTAAACCTAACTGACATTAAAGGGACACTATAGTCACCTGAAGAACTTTAGCTTAATAAAGCAGTTTTGGTGTATAGAACAGGGGTAGGCAACCTACGGCACTAGTGCCATGCACGGCACTCCAGGTGTCTTTGCACGGCACTCAAGGCTGCTAGAGCCAAACAGGCTCTGGCCTATCAGGAGTCCCAGTAAAACTTCAAATATCTGCTAATACGAAAGGATGGTGAAAGACAATCCTCAATTTAAGCATTGCAGCACATAGAGGAAATGATCTCAAATCACTTCCTCCAAGCACTTGTGAATGGGAATCCACAACGTAGTAGAGCAGCCTGCAGCTGCTGTTGGAGCTCCTGTCTTTGACCAGTACCAGGCCAGCCTGGTCCCCACTGGAACATAGCGAAGCCAACCATACTGCTAGATATACATAGATATTGTGGATCAAACCAAGTGAGTATCTGCTCCTTTCCTAATTGTTAAAATAAATGCGTACACGCTCTGAAGTAAATTACACTGAGACACAGGTATCAGGTTAATGAAAAACTTCAGAATGTTTACGCAGGGGGCGGCAAGCCCCTCATAAAGGCAAAAATACATCATATGCAAAAATGTAGATAACAGAGAGATTACATCTTTAATTGGTTAGGTGTTAAGTGTCTTATCTAATGCACATCCTACGAGGCGTGATGTCACCATCATCCCGGGATTTTACTCCGGATGTAGGCGCCATCTTGTTACACAAGGTAGTTAGTCGGTGGGAGGGGGTGCTCTAGCAGCCATTTTGAGTAGATATTGAATACAGGTATACACAGTAAATAGATATTTTACAATCACTAATTTACATTCATAACACAGAAATGAAGAATAACCCTCCCCTTATACAAATAATATGAACTGCCCATACACAAACATACACACAATCTGCACAAACGTAACCCGCTAAGAATCCACATACATGCACACAACCCCACATGCAGCCTCTAACATGCAATACCCCAAACAGCCCACACACACTACCAAACACACAATGTGACATATCCATCCACACACAATTCCACAAGCAGCCCTCATACACAGCACACATTCATATGTATCATATACAATACCATAAACTACTAATGAACATATACAATATAATAGCTTATATACGCACAAATACAACGAAACAAAGCAACTGCAGTAAAAATAACTAGCAGAATACGGCAGAATACACACCTCAATTTAAAAAAATAGGACCGGGACATCACAATCCTATATCGGCACAGTGCTGCTAAAAGGTTGCCTACCCCTGGTATAGAACATGCCCCTGCAGCCTCACTGCTCAATCCTCTGCCATTTAGGAGTTAAATCCCTTTGCTTATGAAGCCTAGTCACACCTCCCTGCATGTGACTTGCACAGCCTTCTATAAACACTTCCTGTAAAGAGAGCCCTATTTAGGCTTTCTATATTGCAAGTTCTGTTTAATTAAGATTTTCTTATCCCTTGCTATGTTAATAGCTTGCTATACCCTGCAAGGGCCTCCTGTATGTGGTTAAAGTTCTCTTTAGAGATTGAGATATAATTATTTAAGGTAAAATTACATTTGAAAGTGAAACCAGTTTTTTTTTTTCATGCAGGCTCTGTCAATCATAGCCTGGGGAGGTGTGGCTAGGGCTGCATAAACAGAAACAAAGTAAGTTAACTCCTAAATGACAGTGAAATTGCAGGGGAATGATCTATACACTAAAACTGCTTTTTAGCTAAAGTAATTTAGGTGACTATAGTGTTCCTTTAAATGATCTTTGTTAAAGGAACACTGTAGTGTGACAGTTTTTAGGCCTGGCTTCATACCTGGGTTCCACCACTCCCCATCTCATCTGCAATCAGGAGAGCTGGAATCTCCTGCTAAGCTTCTATTAGCTCTCCTCAGCTAAGCTCTTTAGTGCAAGGCAGCTCACTGGCAGGGGGCGTCACTGCTTAGTTCAGACAGATTCCAGCACTCTGAAACTAATGAAGGTAGGGAGCACCAATCGTTCTTAAAAATTTGTCTACTTACAGCAATTGGACATCAGGGCACTCCTACAGAGTGCCGGAGTCTTTCTCTAAAGTAATTCTAGATCTCCCTACTCTCCAATCCTCTTAAATTACAACTAACAAGTTCAATGGACTTTTTTTTTACAACAAAGAAGCAATAGACATGTAAAAACATCTATTTACACCAGACTCAACCGACCTGTGAAACTGAAAGTGCACCGTTCTCCGACAGATTATATATATATAGTGTTCCTTTAAATGATCTTTGTTAAAGGAACACTGTAGTGTGACAGTTTTTAGGCCTGGCTTCATACCTGGGTTCCACCACTCCCCATCTCATCTGCAATCAGGAGAGCTGGAATCTCCTGCTAAGCTTCTATTAACTCTCCTCAGCTAAGCTCTAAATAAAAATCAAAAATTGGTGTTAATTTTCAGTTTGAAAAGATCCCCAAGTATAACTGTTCTCTGATGTGTTTGAAGTATAGGCTCCATCTGGCAGTATCTCAGAGTTTATTCAGAGACTGATCTGTTGGATTCAATACTGCCTCTGATAAAATGACGATTACTTATTCATCTGGTAAACGCCATATAAGTGCCAGAGTAGCATTTAACAGGCTGTAGTAGTTATGTTGCTTGGGTAGTGCCCATTAATTCATCTGGTAAATGCCATAAAAATGCCAGAGTAGCATATAGCCGGCTGTAGTAGTTATGTTGCTTAGGTAGTGTCCATTCATTTATCTGGTAAAAGCCATAAAAATGCCAGAGTAGCATATAACAGACTGTAGTAGTATTGTTGCTTAGGTAGTGTCTATTCTTGTCCCCAAAGAAAATTACTGAAATGTATTTATATTTTGTGGAGTTGCAGATTTTGCCAGGGTATCTTAGTATACTTTTTGACTGCATTGGAATTTCAGTGAAATTAAAACACTGTTAATGTGAGTTATTTTATAAAGATTTTTTTGGTGGGGAGGTGAGGGGGTATAGGTTGGAGGATGACAAGAGCAGCTTTAAACATGTCTGTGCACGCCTTACAACTGTTCAATGCAATATATAACCATTAATGTACAAACAATCACTTACTTTAAGAGGTAACTTCACAGAAGCCACTGAGAGTGCATTACAGTTAACCTCTCAAAGCGTTAATTGAGCCCAAGGGACATCATGTTCCCTTAGTGATACAACAGGTATATTGAAATATACTCCTGTATTTTACAGAGGCTAAAGTGGAAAATGTCCTTGTAAACGTTAATATTTATACCAAGTTTCATATAACTTTCTTGTGAATACACAGCCTCTAAAATTGAAGTCTATCAATAAAACGATTTGAATGATTAGTATGGTTTATCAAGTTATCAATGCGCTTATTGGTAACAGCTCTACAGTTTGTATATTTTATTTTTCGTGTTAACTTTATACTGTACACATCGAAATCCTTAAATCCCTTCTTTCCCTATATATGTATGCATAGAACTATGGACATCTCATATTTATTTGTACAATTTTTATACTGTGGTTTTCAAAATAAACCCACGTTTCTATGAAAATTTAAGTTTTTGTTTTTTTGCGGCCCACATTAACTTAAACCTTGTTTTTTTGGCCCATGCTAGCCTTGGAGTTGGACATGCTCGGTTTAGATTTTTAGGCCCCCCTTCAAGACAAAAAAAATTCATACTTAAAAAGGATTACTCCAAGCACCATGATTTGAACTTTTACTGCACAAAACCGAACTCATTAGCTGGCACTTTCAGCCAATGCATGGTGATGGCTGCGGCTTCCAGCTACTACAGCTTTGAAGAAGCCAGAAGTGCGTCAACGAACAACTAGGGAGCATCGGAACCCAGTGGGGACGCAGGTAAGGGCGGCAAACGGTTTAGCGGCATTATCGGGAAACCAGGCCAAGGCTGTAGTTATGATGCTTGGAGTAACCTTTAACTTATAAAGCAATGTTTATAATTGAGAGCTTGCAAGGATGCTCTCTTTAAGCTATTTCTATGGCTTAGACTTGGAGAGTCCATTTAAATGAACATTCAAAATATGGTACCTGAATTGTCCAGGCAGATTCCCTTTGTAAGAACTTGTTTCCTAGGATCCACCGCGCACCGCTCTTTTCCTCCACTACAGCCTCAGAGACACAGAAGCGTGTCTTAAGCATGATGGTGAAGGTTTTAGTCCATTGGCTATGAGCATTCTGCGGATGCTCTCAGACAATGAGCTAGCCTTGCACTGCAGAACTTAACTTAGGAGAACCAACTTAGAAGCTGCTTAGGAGCTTACAGCTGTCTGAAGGCTGTAGTGGAGGGAGGGAGCATATCCCAAGTAAGAAGTCAAAAATATTTTTACTCTTTACAATGACAATGGTGGCATTGGTTATGGTGCTTATAGTTTTTCTTCAAGTCAATTTTCCATTTCTACATTTATCATGCATGAAAAGCTAGGAAGAATAGAGAAATGCCTGTAGGGAATGTTTCTTAGCTACAATAAGTAAATTATGAGCGACTCAATTTATTTATTTTCTTACCAGACATTTGTAGTTAGCCATCACTGATCTAAATAACAGCTTATTTGCATAAGACAAAATAAGATCCAAGTAGGGGAATTATTTTTCTTTGAGAAATGTTGCAGTAAACATAAAAAAAAAAAATAAAAAAAGTATATCTATATAATTTATGAGGGTTTTATTTCCCCCCTCATCAAGTGCAACTGTTTCAAAATATACACTACATGGCCAAAAGCATATGGACGCCTGAAAATCTGTGTTCCAATTCATCCCAAAAGTGTTCAGTAGGGTTGTGGTCTGCGATCTGTGCAGGCTACACAAGTTCCTTCACGTCAGGCCTAAGCAGTCTTAACTAAATTATATCCCTGCAGAACACAAAGAATATTCACAGATTTTAATCAAATGTCTAACCCACACACCGCATGGCATGCCATCACTGAGCTCCAGCTTAGGAAACCAATCAAAATGGTTCTGAGGTGTACAAGTGTGGTATCAAGTTAGGGTGACCGTTCACATAGGTCATAAGATGTAGTCACCTGGATCCAAGAATGGAGATACCAGACTGAAAAAGCCTTTAAAACATTTATTAAATAAAACACTTAATTTAAAAACAAATAAAATGAATAACTTGCTCAAAACTGTACTCATGTCCTTAATCGAGACAAGCTTCTCTGTAAAAGCTTCTTCAATCCATTACACATCTCAGAGCCATGTTGTTCTTGGGCTCTTTTCAAGGCAAGCAATTTGGAAAATATTGCACTATTGGCACTTTCTCTTGTGTTCGGTGTTTGCGTTGAGATTGAAATATTGTTAGTCAGAAGAAAGGCGGGTGCTGCCATAATAGCACTGGAGAGAAAGATGAAGGGTTAAAGCAGTGGTTATCAAACCAGTCCTCATAGCCGAGCAACCACTGGGTTATAGGGACACACTGTACACAAAATTTGCAACCACGCATCTGAAAGTAAAATACAAGTTCACAGGTGCTTTTAAAAATAAAAAACTCAAACTCATAACTCAAGCATTTATATCTTGTACGTACAACACAAACTGTTGACATAACTACCAGTAAGGGTACGGCAGTATTCTTTTAAAACATTTTCAAGCCTATTCTTTTTTCAAACACTAAATTGTTCTCAGTATTGTGTCAAAGGGCCACACCCATAAAGCTGAAGTGTTTTATGGGTGAGGAGTATCCCATTAAAAAGGCACTTTCTAAAAGTGCAGATTTCTATGAGAAATTGTCACTTTTAAAATAAATGAAACACCCTCAGTCAGGGAGGTATCTCTCCACTTCTTTTAGCCCTCCTGAGCTAAAACAAAAAGGTAGGAGCGCTTTACTTTATTGCGCCTGCCTTCCCCAGCATACTGTCTTCTAAGTTTCCACCCTCTATCCACTCCACAAGTAGCACACCAAACAGTTTTGAAATTTCTTGTTCACTATGACATGTAATGGTTAAGCCAAAGCACTTGTTTTCAGTAATTAGTCACAATGGATAGCAATGGTGACAACGGTCGGTACAATGTCCTCTCTGGTCCAAAGTGTTTGATGGTACACATTAGTCACATCATGTTTAGAAAAAAAGAAAACAGTTACACAAAAGACACTGTGTGAAGAAAAGGAAAAAATATTTATTGATAAATATACATTTTCATCAGTGTTTTTAAAGGTTTACATTAGTATATAACCAGAGGAAAGTAAAGTATAAATACAGTTTATGAAATGCCAATAATGAAGTCAATCTCTGATGAATTTGAAACATTGACCATCATATATCCCACAAAACACAGCTTATTCATAGTTATATACACAGACGTGTATATAGATAGATCTGCCCTGTTAATTTAGACTTTCAGGACTACGATTATTATTAATAAAGGGGCAACTCGTTCTTTAGCAGTGCATTATGTGTGGATGAGTCATACAAGTAATTTTTGACTCAAAGTAACAAGAGGCGTAGCAGGCCTTCTTCAAATTAACCTCCAATCTGAAAACGATGAGTTTTGTCTAACCCTTGTAATGAAACAGTTAATATTGTGCACTTCTGTCTTTCAATATGAATCATGTTGCCGGGAATGACAAATTTCCCCTACAGCCACTTCATTAACCTCTTCAGGACTGGTGCTTTTCCAAGATTCCATGACTTTTGCTTTATGTTTGTTTAGTATATTTTTCATATGCACCCATAGATATTAAACACTGCATTTTAAAGGACAGATATGGCTATCTTTTTAAAAGAACTCTCCAAGCCCCATAATGGCTACAGGCTGGCAGGACTGCCCTGGCACTATAATTTTAAAGCATCTTAGTCACTTCTGAATATTTGTTAAAGTCATACTTTAGTCACCAGAACAACTACAGCTTAATGTAGTTGTTCTGGTGTCCATAGCTTGTCCCTGCAGACCTTTTAATGTTAACCATGCCTTTTTAGAGAAAAGGCAGTGTTAACATTGGTGCTAAGTTACACCTGATGTTCAGTGTCTCCAAGCTCTGCATGGAGACCCTAAACTTTCCCCATATAGATGCATTGATTCAATGCAACTCTATGAGGAGGAGCTGATTGACGCAGCGTGACGTTTTGCGCACATGCACAACAGCCTTGATGATCTTAGCCATGGAAGCGGAGCCAGCCACAGTGACACCGGCACGGCACTGGAAAAATAGGCAAGTAAATTTACTTTTTAACTAGAGGCAAGGGGGCCGGAGAGCTAAAAAAGATTTTACAACTATGTCAGGAATACTTGTTTGTATTCCTGACACTAGTGTTCCTTTTAAAAAGATAAAATCTTTAGTAAATACTCGTACTGACTGAAATACCAACCCAACCCAAAGTTATCATAATACAAAGTAGGGACTACTTTGTAGTAGCCAGAGGTTGGCAAAATTTGACAAAAGGCAGAGCTTCACTGTGAGGTGTAATCTATGCATGCTCCAACAGTCTACTACTCCATAGAACTTCGTGTTGCAGCCTCACACGTCATGTTGAATCTTCTCATTTAACTATTTTATCAACATCTGCTAAATCTGCAAGTTAGATTTAATATGTTTTTGTTTTTCCACACTTAATTTTTTTTAGTCATTTGCAATGGCTTTACTTAAAGAGGTCTTGATAAATGTATGTGTATATTACCCCTACACCCTCCTCACCCACCCCCAAAAAAAAAGCAATCTTCAGTCTTTTGTCTGGGCTGCCAAAACTTGCTCACTGAAACGTTGTTTTTCATTGACATCACAAAGTGGCAATGTAGTGGGAATAAAAACACTCATCTAAAATCAGTGGGTTCCGCCATTAAAAAATGCTGCCTAGTTTGGGGCCAGTGGACAAAAACGAAAAGTTTTTATATGACTGCTGTCTGAAACTACAATTGTTTTTTATTGCATTTCCGGTTAAAGACTCTTGCACTCCAGTACAGAATTGCATTCATTTGGCTCATAGGAGAATAACAGTGTTCAGCACTCCACTGGTGCATCACATTTTGCTTTTTTGGTAAACTTCAAATCTGCTCTAAAACAGGCACTGTCACGTGTATTTTTTTTATTTTTTTGCACAACCTGAAAGCAAACTAAAAGTTAGAGTTTACGCATTTTTTTTTTTTTTAAATATAGTGAACAGGTTTAATTTGCACACATCACATACCAGGTTGCCTGGCACAGTCAAAGCATACGATTCAAATTAGTTTAACCCCCATGGTGCCATATGAAACTATTAAAAGAACGCATGAGTTGCACAGCATTTTCAAAGCTGATGCCAAGTGCACATGAGCATATCTAGAGACTCAACATGTCCTGAACACAGAAGTCCTGCAGAGGTATTTGTGTTTATGCTGAACTGACAACTTAAGAGCAACTCAACACATTGTTGTCAAATATTCTAAAACCCCAATAGCTGACTTAAAGCTAGTTAAGGGTCGTCCTTTTTTCCTCAACTATTTTTACTTTACATTGCATATTGTGATGACATAGCAGATGCAAATTAGTATAAACTCACAGTGCTATTTCATTAGTAGCTTTTAACACTAAAAAGGGCACTCCAATGCCAAAATACAAAAATAAAATAATCATAAAATAGATGTAGACCAAATATATAATGTATTCTCCTATACATATCCTGCCTAGTCATCATGACTATTCCTTGGTGCCTCACTCTTATGGACATAAGGGATCTCCCCCCCCCCGCCCCCCCAAAATGTAGTGTGACTGCACCTTTAGAAGCGCTTGTGCTGCACTCAGGGCACTAGGACCCTGCAGAGACCATTGAAACAGCGTTCCCTGCATGTTCTACCCTCCTTAATTTGTAGACAGTCTGGTAGGAATTCAAGCCAGTACTTTGTGCGTATCGCCTCCTTTGGGCAGAGCCAGCAACATGAACGCATCAATGCCCAGCCCCTTTAACCCCCTCCAACCAGCGTCCTGCTTCTCGGGACACCAACAGTGGGGTGTATATAACCAAGCCCAAACTTAATGCATCTGACCAATGACAGACTTAGTAATGCAGCTAAATTATAAGTCTTTGGAGGCCGGTGCTCTCAGCCTGTCTCTTGAGTTAAGCTGCACTGAGCTAAACAACCAAAGTAACAGGACCATTTGTCTGATTCACAGTCAGAGAGGGGTGTAACAAGTTTAATTAAGAAAAGTGCCAATTTCTGCTGCAATGTGTTTCTACTGAAATGAGGACACACTTCACACAAAGAATTTGAGCAAGCAAATGGGCTTTAAGGGTCCAAAGCTTCCCTTTACGTCAATTTTTTTTTTTTTTTAAAACAAAAAAAGAAAGTATGCCGTCTATATTAACTAAAAGAAGAATATTTATATTAGTAGTGTTCTGCAACACTCTCCCCCATCTGCATACGATAGATAACTCCTTTTGGTTATGGTATGCAAGGTTGCCCACATTTGCTGAGCACTAATAAAGATACAGCGGACTTTTGGAGGGTAAAATCATCTTTAGAACTCAAATATATAATAGATCAAATTATATAATAGCTTATGAAAAGGTATATATTCAATTATATTATTTTAAATTACTGCTCAAAAGAGCAAGTGTCCTGCTAACATACAACAAAATTAATGCTTTATTAAAAGGATACTACAAGAAACAACTACCTACATTTGCCCATTCCACCTACAATCCCACCATAGACACCTAATATGTATCTCACATGACGTGACTGTTTTCCCCATCAGTTATCATAAGTGACAGTTAAAGGTAAAATCATGGTAAGTGAAAGTTGATTTAAAAGACCAATCCACACTAAATATTAATAAAGAAACAAAATCACTATTTAGTAGATAGACACCCAATAAGTACATGCATGCATTTTTTTCTGGAGGTATAAAGCTTGTAAAAGCTGCAGTTTTGCAGACTGCAACCTTTGCTTGCCCTCCTCTTTTTTTCTCCCCATACGCTGTGTCTGATGGTGAAATAGCCAATCAGAGACCTCTGATTCTCAACTAACAATAGCACATGGACACTTCAGCGCATGTGCAGTGAAGGGGAGCAGGAAGGACACTGGAGCCCTGGTGGAAGCTACAGAGCCGGGGAGGACAAGTACAATTGAATGCTGTGGATGAATGCTCTCACAGACTCATGGGAACATATGGGACAAGGAAGGCACACTTTAGCAGAGGAGGAAGAAAACCTCCCTAACCCGGACTTCCTTATTGGCAGCCATGGGTGTGTTTAACAACACACCATTGATTCATAATGGTCATGTTAATGGGACAGTCCATACACATAAAGCACTTTGGCAAGCATCATATTTGGCGTGATCGGACTTTTGCCACATCTTTGCAAAAACTCTTACATACATAAGATCAAGTATCTTTTGACTGGATAGGAATTTCAATGTAACTTCTTATACACTAAATTATATTTATTTTTTAGGGGGGTTAAGACAACTCAAATTGCACTTTGAACTTGGGGACTTATTTACTAAACAATGTTCTACTAAAATTAATGAGTTGCAAAGCAATCTCTAAAACAACTGACAATGCTTTGGGAACAAAATGTTCTGTAGACATCAGGCTGTGAGCCATCACCCTCATCCCATATCCACTGAGCAGTGATCTACTATACAAAGTACAATAGTCTTCACACACTGAAAATTTCTCTTCCTGGAACACTTTGACAGTGAGAACTCTAACACTCTGTGCCACCCTCATGCACCTACTCTAGACGATCCTATCCACTACACATTGTGCCACCCTCTTGCCACATACAGTGTTCATTCTTCAACTTTACTTACAGTGTCACACTCCTAAATCATACAGTAAGTACCCCACGCCCTTACACAATGCACCATCCGACCAACACAAATACTAGAACTCCACTTCCTGGTGACCTGTTCCACATACATGGATCCTTAGCAAACTGTGCCACCCAGGGTTAAACTTAAGTGGTGTGTCCACAGGAGGCACGCACTCAAAGAGGGCACATTGACAGTAGCACTACCCTGATAGATTACAGGGAGTGTGACAATGCATGACATTTTTTTTATTTAATTTTTTTTATTTAAATTTAGGATGCTTTTTTTTTTTTTTTGAACTAAAACTTCAAAAACAGGCTGCACCCTACATCACAAGTATATATACGGATGGCAGGCATCAGGTGCTTAATACTGATGAGACAAGCTTCGTCCCAGAATTCTATGTGAACTCTGTGGCTTTGACCTTCCCAGGAAGGAGGGAGCAAGAGACACTCAAGGAGGGTAAGATAGTCGTTTATTTATTCCTGTAAATTTATAGTTAAAGTATATAAGTGCATTTATACTCTAGTGTGTCTGATAGCCCCTTACATATGTTTGTGTATGTGTGTATAAATAAAACCAAGGATGGCTAGGGTTGCAGTCACCTGAACATGCATACATTATAGGGTGCTGCTGGGGCCAATTTACACAAGTAAACCCCCATTATTTTTTGATTAGGTGAGGTGTTTTTAAATAAAACTATGACAATCTGTGAGACTTGAAATCGCTGTTCAGTGAATGAGCGAGTGCGCTGGATTGTGTATTTTGTATGTTGCACTCTTTTTCATTGGATTACATCTCTCTGCAAGTTGGCACCGAGGAAAGTTTACTGGAATACTCTTAAAGGGGGTGAGTTCCAAGTTTATTATAATTATATATAACTCTTCGTAAGTCCTTGCACTCAGATTAATCACTTAAATTAAATGCCGGGTGCATATATAGCCACAGGATCGCACGGTGTAATAGAGGAATGCCCAGTGGATGTGGCAGGGGTGGCTCAGTAAGGTATAGTGGCTGTATGGTGGTGACACAGTGTGATAGAGGAATGCCCAGTGGATGTGGCAGGGGTGGCACAGTAAGGTATAGTGGCTGTATGGTGACACACAGTGTAATAGAGGAATGCCCAGTGTATGTGGCAGGGGTGGCACAATGTGTAAGGTATAGTGGCTGTATGGTGACACACAGTGCAGTGGAGCAGTTCCCAGTGTATGTGGCACTGAGTTTAGTACAGTGTCACACAGTGGGGATAAGATGTGCCCAGTGGCAGGAGGTGACTCAATGTTTACACCTGGTCTCCCCTCAGTGACAGTCAGCCCCACAGCCAGTGACAGCTCCCTCTCCGGAGTGCCTGGTGCTTCTCTGCCAGTTGACCCTGTTTCCCGATGCCCTGTAGCCCGTGCCCCCAGCCAGTAATTACCTGTAGCCCGTGTCCCCGGCCAGTAATTACCTGTAGCCCGTGTCCCCGGCCAGTAATTACCTGTAGCCCGTGTCCCCGGCCAGTAATTACCTGTAGCCCGTGTCCCCGGCCAGTAATTACCTGTAGCCCGTGTCCCCGGCCAACAATTACCAGTAGACCGTGTCCCCGGCCAACAATTACCAGTAGCCCGTGTCCCCGGCCAACAATTACCAGTAGCCCGTGTCCCCGGCCAACAATTACCAGTAGCCTGTATCCCGGGCCAGCAATTACCAGTAGCCTGTGTCCCCGGCCAACAATTACCAGTAGCCGTGTCCCCGGCCAACAATTACCAGTAGCCTGTGTCCCCGGCCAACAATTACCTGTAGCCCGTGCCCCCAGCCAGTAATTACCTGTAGCCCGTGCCCCCAGCCAGTAATTACCTGTAGCCCGTGCCCCCGGCCAGTAATTACCAGTAGCCCGTGCCCCCAGCCAGTAATTACCAGTAGCCTGTGCCCCCAGCCAGTAATTACCAGTAGCCTGTGCCCCCAGCCAGTAATTACCAGTAGCCTGTGCCCCCAGCCCGCTGCCCCCGGCCAGTAATTACCAGTAGCCCGTGACCCCAGCCGGTAATTACCAGTAGGCCGTTGCCCCCAGCCGGTAATTACCAGCCCGTGCCCCCAGCCAGTAATTACCAGTAGCCCATTGCCCCCAGCCAGTAACTACCAGTAGCCCGTGACCCCAGCCAATAATTACCAGTAGCCCGTTGCCCCCAGCCAGTAATTACCAGTAACCCGTTGCCCCCAGTCCTTTGCCCCCGGCCAGTGATTACCTGTAGCCTGTTACCCCCAGTCCGTTGCCCCCGGCCAGTAATTACCAGTAGCCCGTTACCCCCGGCCAGTGATTACCAGAAGCCCGTTAATTACCAGTAGCCCGTTACCCCCGGCCAGTGATTACCAGAAGCCCGTTGCCCCCAGTCCGTTGCCCCCGGCCAGTGATTACCAGAAGCCCGCTGCCCCCAGTCCGTTGCCCCCGGCCAGTGATTACCAGAAGCCCGTTGCCCCCAGTCCGTTGCCCCCGGCCAACAATTACCTGTAGCCCGTGTCCCCGGCCAACGATTACCTGTAGCCCGTGTCCCCGGCCAACGATTACCTGTAGCCCGTGTCCCCGGCCAACGATTACCTGTAGCCCGTGTCCCCGGCCAACGATTACCTGTAGCCCGTGTCCCCGGCCAACGATTACCTGTAGCCCGTGTCCCCGGCCAACTATTACCTGTAGCCCGTGTCCCCGGCCAACAATTACCTGTAGCCCGTGTCCCCGGCCAACAATTACCAGTAGCCCGTGTCCCCGGCCAACAATTACCAGTAGCCCGTGTCCCCGGCCAACAATTACCAGTAGCCCGTGTCCCCGGCCAACAATTACCAGTAGCCCGTGTCCCCGGCCAACAATTACCAGTAGCCCGTGTCCCCGGCCAACAATTACCAGTAGCCCGTGTCCCCGGCCAACAATTACCAGTAGCCCGTGTCCCCGGCCAACAATTACCAGTAGCCCGTGTCCCCGGCCAACAATTACCAGTAGCCCGTGTCCCCGGCCAACAATTACCAGGAGCCCGTGTCCCCGGCCAACAATTACCTGTACCAGTAGCCCGTGTCCCCGGCCAACAATTACCAGTAGCCCGTGTCCCCGGCCAACAATTACCAGTAGCCCGTGTCCCCGGCCAACAATTACCAGTAGCCCGTGTCCCCGGCCAACAATTACCTGTAGCCCGTGCCCCCGGCCAGTAATTACCTGTAGCCCGTGCCCCCAGCCAGTAATTACCAGTAGCCTGTGCCCCCAGCCAGTAATTACCAGTAGCCTGTGCCCCCAGCCAGTAATTACCAGTAGCCTGTGCCCCCAGCCCGCTGCCCCCGGCCAGTAATTACCAGTAGCCCGTGACCCCAGCCGGTAATTACCAGTAGGCCGTTGCCCCCAGCCGGTAATTACCAGTAGCCCGTTGCCCCCAGCCAGTAATTACCAGTAGCCCGTTGCCCCCAGCCCAGTCCGTTGCCCCCGGCCAGTGATTACCTGTAACCCGTTGCCCCCAGTCCGTTGCCCCCAGTCAGTAATTACCAGTAGTCCGTTGCCCCCAGTCAGTAATTACCAGTAGCCCGTTGCCCCCAGTCAGTAATTACCAGTAGCCCGTTGCCCCCAGTCAGTAATTACCAGTAGCCCGTTGCCCCAAGTCAGTAATTACCAGTAGTCCGTTGCCCCCAGTCAGTAATTACCAGTAGTCCGTTGCCCCCGGCCAGTGATTACCTGTAGTAGTAAACATCGCTCTTGCCAGCGCTCAGCCCGGACTTTCTGATGACTTCCTCCTTCTTCCAGCCCGGTGGCAGTGCCGGACACTCCATCCTCCGCTTCTCCATGGCCGGGCTGCGAGTCTCACCGGACCATGTGTGGCTCCTGCGGCCCCCGGCTGCCTCTCGCTCACTCTCACCTGCCGGTCTCAGCGACCCCTAGCAACCACGCCTCACAACGCTTCCGCCCTGTCACACAGAATGAAGTTCCAGCAGGCAAGGCTGGGCGGAGGGATACCAGGCTCACGAACCTAGGTCTTTAACCCCCTCCTTGCTGTGAGTCATGTCTGAGAGTGCAGAGCCCAGTGTCCCAGTAATACAAGAGGCTGTGACTGAGTTTCTCTTTCATTCCACTTGGTACACTGGGAATATTTTACTACACAAAAGGGCAAATAATTGTATTTGTAGTTTTGTCTCTCTCTCACTTGCTCATGTAGGCTAAATAAAATAGTCCCCACATTACCATTTGTGTCAGTGTGTTTATTATTGTTATTGGACATCTGTGCTGCACCCTGATTGTTTGAAAAGTTCATATATCTGAATTGTTGACAGTTACCAACTTATCACTACATGGGGTGGGGGGGGAGGATGGTAATCTTAATACTATAGTGGGCTGTAGTGGTTATGGTGTTTTGAGTTTTCCTTTAAGATCCAGAAAGACTAAAATATAGGGGAATAGAAAGGAACAGCCTGCTGTAGTGGTTATGGTGCCAGACGTGCCCTCGCATCGTCCCAGTGTAATCTGCCAAACCGTTTTAATACAGTTTGACAGTGTACATGGGTTCCTGCAATTAATTAGTCATTAATCCTGCTTATTTGGCCATATTACAAAGGTATTAATAACTGAACAGAAATACAGTTTGTTAGTCAGATATCAATTTACTATAATATGGAGATTATTGAAAATCCCCAGTGGTTGAAGAAAATGGTATGAGCTAATCCAGGGGCATCTATGGGGGTGATGGATGGCATCGAGCCCCAAACCCTATAGCCCCCAATACTTTTGTTCCCTAATCTGCTCTGCTTCCTGCCGGCTCGCAGTCTCCTTGTTGTGTCTACGACTCGGCCAGGAGCAGAAGCAGCACAGTGACAGCGACACACTGGGTATATTATAAAGTGTCATATTCCCTGTGTATCTCTATCACTGAGCCTTCAGATATACCAGCAACAGAGGAGACCGGGGAACTGACCAAAAACGTACAGGGCTGGAGACGTGATGCCTGTGTGCTCTCCCTACTAAACGCTTGTGGCTACTGGCACTGCTGAATCAGTGACTGGGTTTCTGCCTTCCTTCCAATTCCCTGCAACTGGATAAGCAACAAGATACTGGGCCCCAGATGTATCCTTTTTATGGTTTTATGTGTGCCTGTGTGTAACTGTCTGTGTAAGCCTGTCAGTGTATGGGTGTGCATGTCTGTATGTCCATTTCTGTGCCTTTGTGTACCTGTCTGTGTTTGTGTCTGCAGTTGTCTCCTTGTGCATGTTTTTTTCTGCTTGTCTGTGTCTGTCTATGTGTCTGTACGTTACTGTGAGTGTGTTGAGAGGCATGTTTAGCTGTAGGATTTGGGACAAGGTTTGGGTGGGGCTTTAAGAATGGGTCACCAAATATTTTTTGGGCTCCTGTCTCCTGTTTTTTGGCTGTAACAATGCCCCTGCACTAATCACCAGGTAAAAAGAATAGGGGAAAAGGCTGCGCCAAAAACAATATAATTCTAATGTAGGTAAGCAACACGAAAAGCTACTACAACAGGATATAGTAAATATATAAATAAAATGATGGAAATAAAAAACAGTCGGTGGTAATATAAACATTTCCAGTATATAGATATTGAAGTTGATAGTTGTCTCAATGATATGAAGACCATAAAATAAGAAAAATGAACATCAACAGTACTCACTGTATTTAAAACTCCAGGAGTATAGAAGTATAAATTTGTACTCACATTTGGTTGAGCATAGAAATTTCTTCAGAGAGTTTTCTTCCGCCAGGAGATTACCAGTCAGAAGAAATCTTGGAATTTGTATATAAAAACAAAGAGAGGCCAATAGTGTAATATATCCCTGAAAGTGGTGTGTGATAAAAAGTCTATATGGTCCTATTCACGTTTTCTAGAGCTTTGACCAGCTCTAGTATGGATAACGTGCAGTGGTACAATCCCCACTTATAGGATATGTGAGAAGTTGATAGTTGTCTCAATGATATGAAGATCATAAAATAATAAAAAGGAACAACAACAGTGCTCACTGTATTTAAAGCTCCAGGAGTATAGAAGTATAAATTTGTACTCACATTTGGTTGAGCATACAAACTGCTCAATGGATTGCACTTGAGTGATATAATCCCCACCTAGGATTCTTTAGAGTAGTCCTCACTGGAACAAAATAAGAACTGATGCCAGGCAGTAAAGAAGTTTAAAATAATAATAAAAGAGTAAAATGGCACATTAGGTTGGGATTATACCACTCAAGCGCTATCCATTGAGCAGTTCGTCTGCTCAACCAAATGTGAGTACAAATTTATACTTCTATACTTCTGGAGCTTTAAATACAGTGAGCACTGTTGTTGTTCCTTTTTATTATTTTATGGTCTTCATATCATTGAGACAACTATCAACTTCTCACATATCCTATAAGTGGGGATTGTACCACTGCACGTTATCCATACTAGAGCTGGTCAAAGCTCTAGAAAACGTGAATAGGACCATATAGACTTTTTATCACACACCACTTTCAGGGGTATATTACACTATTGGTCTCTCTTTGTTTTTATATACAAATTCCAAGATTTCTTCTGACCTTGATCTCCTGGCGGAAGAAAACTCTCTGAAGAACACTATAGACGTTTCTTCTGGCAAGTTTATATCTATATACTGGACATTTTTATATTAACATCATTTCCATCATTTTATTTATATATTTACTATCCTGTTGTAGTAGCTTTTTGTGTTGCTTACCTACATTAGAATTATATTGTTTTTGGCGCAACCTTTTCCCCTTTTCTTTTTATCATTGTAATTTTTGTGTAGGGCCTAGAGGGAGCCCTACATGTTAAGCTGTGCTGCCAACCTATCCAATATTTATAACTTTCTTTGGTTTGGTTAAACAGCGCTGATCTATTTGTCTATATCTTCTAACTAATCACCAGGTCTCTCTCTACCATGTTACTATTTTACAGAGCTATAAGTAGGGAGCTATTCAACATATAGCATATAGCAATTGTAACATATAGCCCCAAACAATGAGTGCCATATAAACTAGGCTTGTGAAAAAAAAAAATGAAAACAATGGAAAATAAAGTAACAAAAAGTAGTCCATTTAACAATAAACTGCAAAATGCGAGTGCTGCTTTAAATACTAATATCATAGTTATATTTTCATTTTCTCTGTATTGTTTTTCAGATGGAAGATTTGTAACATATTTTGGACTGAATAGTTATATATGTATGTTATGAACATGATAAAAGTGATAGGAGTTGTAAGGACACACTACAGTCCTTTAAAGCGTTAAATATTTGTTTATTAGTGCCTAATGACATTGCAGTAGCTTTTATTTTATGCTTGTATGTTACTTTTGTTATAAGAACAGCTGGATACACCGCCAGTCTAGGTCCTCTGTGAAAGTTGGATTTTGAGTGGTGACTGAGAAATCTGTTACTGAAATGGATAAGGGTAAATAAAAAAGGGATTGAAATCCATGTTCCAAAGTCTCAGTGATATTTGTGGATAGTTACTGACACAAGGCAATAACACAGCACTGAATATTACAACATAACACTGGCCCTTTAAGAAGCATCAATAGCATTGCTAGTTCTACTTTTCACATGGTCAAATTACAGGCATATCAATTCCGTTTTCAAATCTCACCAAATGATTTATTGGGCTCATGTCAATTTTAAAAAAAAATAGCAGCTTCCCTTCACTTGTACTTTACTCCCACAGGGCATACCATTTGCAAAAGAAAACAATTCACACTATTTAACCCTTTAAGAACACATGACATGTGTGACATGTCATGATTCCCTTTTATTCCAGAAGTTTGGTCCTTAAGGGGTTAAAGGGACATTATAGTCATCAAAACAACTCTAGCTTAAGCCCTTCAGGACGGAGTCAATAGTGCATGTTCTGATCAAAACGTAAACAAAAACTGGAATTTGCGCTATATGTCTGTTCAACCGTAATTCACGGCTGTCACATTAAGTGCACCCACACTTATTATATATCATTTTGTTCAGGAGAAACAGGGCTTTAAATTATCATTAACTATTCATATATGGAACATAATTTATTATGAATAAAATTTTAAAAAATGTGAGAAAATAAGATTTTTTTTTAAAATTTGTATTTCTGTCTGACATTTTAGCTGTGAATGTCATAATACTGTTAGGTTTTACTGCAAAAAAATGCACATATTTGTAATGTGCGATGTCTCACGAGTACAACAGTACCCCCCATTAACAGGTTTTATGGTGTTTTGGAAAGTTACAGGGTCAAATATAGAACGTTCCATTTTCAAATTGAAATTTGCCAGATTAGTAATGTTACCTTTGAGACGGTGTGGTAGCCCAGGAATGAGAATTACCCCCATAATGGCATACCATTTGAAAAAGTAGACAACCCAAGGTATTGAAAGTGGGGTATGTTTAGTCTTTTTTAGTAGCCACTTAGTCACAAACACTGGCCAAAGTTAGCATTCATATTTGTTTTTGTGTGAAAAAAGCAAAAAACTAATATTTGGCCAGTGTTTGTGACTAAGTGGCTACTAAGAAAGACTGGACATACCCCACTTGCAATACCTTGGGTTGTCTACTTTTGCAAATGGTATGCCATCATGGGGGTAATTCTCATTCCTGGGCTACCATACGCTCTCAAAGGCAACATAACCAAACTGGCAAATTTCAATGTAAAAAAAAATGAAATGCAAGCCTTATATGTGACTCTCTAACTTTCCAAAACACCATAAAACCTGTACAGGTGGGTCCTGTTATTCTCGGGAGACTTCACTAAACACAAATATTAGTGTTTTAAAACAGTAAAACATATTACAACAATAGATAACAATAAAATGGACTGGTGAATAAATCCTAAACAAGGAAAATGGTGCTACAATCACCTTAGTGGAGCCACCAAAACCCACTAAATAAATACAAGTGACATTAAAAAGTACAAATGGTGAGAGCACTCAATATAGAACAGTAACTTGTACAGTAAAATTA